AGCGGCACGTAGGGCAACTCGATCGTGCAGGGAAACAGATTTTATACGCTTGGGGCAGTTCATATAACTTTCAAACGTTCTTCAAGTGGCACTTAGGGCATGAACTTTCATTTTAAATAGTTACTATCGGTCTGTAAGCGGTACGTAGGCCAACTCGATCGTGTAGGGAAACAGATTTTTATACGCTTGGGGCAGTTCTTATAATTTTTAAACGTTCTTCAAGCGGCACTTAGGGCATGAACTGTCTTCTAGATACAGATAATATTGGTTAGCAGCACGTAGGGCAACTCGATCGGGGAGGGAAACAGATTTTTGTACGCTTGGGGCAGTTCTTATATTTTTTAAACGGTCTTCAAGCGGCACTTAGGGCATGAACTGTCTTCTAGATATAGATATTATTGGTTTGTAAGCAGCACGTAGGGCAACTCGATCGGGGAGGGAAACAGATTTTTGTACGCTTGGGGCAGTTCTTATAATTTTCAAACGTTCTTCAAGTGGCACTTAGGGCATGAACTTTCATTTTAAATAGTTACTATCGGTCTGTAAGCGGTACGTAGGCCAACTCGATCGTGTAGGGAAACAGATTTTTATACGCTTGGGGCAGTTCTTATAATTTTTAAACGGTCTTCAAGCGGCACTTAGGGCATGAACTGTCTTCTAGATATAGATATTATTGGTTTGTAAGCGGCACGTAGGGCATAAATTTTCATTTTAAATAATTACTATCGGTCTGTAAGCGGCACGCAGGGCAACTCGATCGTGCAGGGAAACAGATTTTATACGCTTAGGGCAGTTCTTATAACTTTCAGACGGTCTCCAAGCGGCACTTAGGGCATAAACTTTCATTTTAAATAGTTACAATCGGTCTGTAAGCGGTACGTAGGCCAACTCGATCGTGCAGGAAAACAGATTTTATACGCTTGGGGCAGTTCTTATAATTTTTGAGCGTTCTTCAAGCGGCACTTAGGGCATGAACTGTCTTCTAGATATAGATATTATTGGTTTGTAAGCGGCACGTAGGGCAACTCGATCGTGCAGGGAAACAGATTTCTATACGCTTGGGGCAGTTCTTATAACTTTCAAACGGTCTTCAAGCGGCACTTAGGGCATAAATTTTCATTTTAAATAGTTACTATCGGTCTGTAAGCGGCACGTAGGGCAACTCGATCGTGCAGGGAAACAGATTTTATACGCTTGGGGCAGTTCTTATAATTTTTGAGCGTTCTTCAAGCGGCACTTAGGGCATGAACTGTCTTCTACATATAGATATTATTGGTTTGTAAGCCGCACGTAGGGCAACTCGATCGTGCAGGGAAACAGATTTCTATACGCATGGGGCAGTTCTTATGATTTTTTAACGGTCTTCAAGCGGCACTTAGGGCATAAATTTTCATTTTAAATAGTTACTATCGGTCTGTAAGCGGCACGTAGGGCAACTCGATCGTGCAGGGAAACAGATTTTATACGCTTGGGGCAGTTCGTATAACTTTCAAACGTTCTTCAAGTGGCACTTAGGGCATGAACTTTCATTTTAAATAGTTACTATCGGTCTGTAAGCGGCACGTAGGGCAACTCGATCGTGCAGGGAAACAGATTTTATACGCTTGGGGCAGTTCGTATAACTTTCAAACGTTCTTCAAGTGGCACTTAGGACATGAACTTTCATTTTTAATAGTTACTATCGGTCTGTAAGCGGTACGTAGGCCAACTCGATCGTGTAGGGAAACAGATTTTTATACGCTTGGGGCAGTTCTTATAATTTTTAAACGTTCTTCAAGCGGCACTTAGGGCATGAACTGTCTTCTAGATACAGATAATATTGGTTGTAAGCAGCACGTAGGGTAACTCGATCGGGGAGGGAAACAGATTTTTGTACGCTTGGGGCAGTTCTTATATTTTTTAAACGGTCTTCAAGCGGCACTTAGGGCATGAACTGTCTTCTAGATATAGATATTATTGGTTTGTAAGCAGCACGTAGGGCAACTCGATCGGGGAGGGAAACAGATTTTTGTACGCTTGGGGCAGTTCTTATAATTTTCAAACGTTCTTCAAGTGGCACTTAGGGCATGAACTTTCATTTTAAATAGTTACTATCGGTCTGTAAGCGGTACGTAGGCCAACTCGATCGTGTAGGGAAACAGATTTTTATACGCTTGGGGCAGTTCTTATAATTTTTAAACGGTCTTCAAGCGGCACTTAGGGCATGAACTGTCTTCTAGATATAGATATTATTGGTTTGTAAGCGGCACGTAGGGCATAAATTTTCATTTTAAATAATTACTATCGGTCTGTAAGCGGCACGTAGGGCAATAGGGCAACTCGATCGTGCAGGGAAACAGATTTTATACGCTTGGGGCAGTTCTTATAATTTTTGAACGGTCTTCAAGCGGCACTTAGGGCATGAACTGTCTTCTAGATACAGATAATATTGGTTTGTAAGCAGCACGTAGGGCAACTCGATCGGGCAGGGAAACAGATTTTTGTACGCTTGGGGCAGTTCTTATATTTTTTAAACGGTCTTCAAGCGGCACTTAGGGCATGAACTGTCTTCTAGATATAGATATTATTGGTTTGTAAGCGGAACGTAGGGCAACTCGATCGTGCAGGGAAGCAGATTTCTATACGCTTGGGGCAGTTCTTATAACTTTTAAACGGTCTTCAAGCGGCACTTAGGGCATAAAGACGAAAACCATACCTTGTTCTTCCACCCTGGCGCCCCCCTTCAGCGTTGCGGAGGGAGAGTTGTTGACAGTGTGAGCACGCGAGAAATCAGCTCTCTCGCAGAGGTTAAAGGCAGTGTCTCACCAAAGTTAAGGTCGCGCGGATCTTCACATAGTCTATCATAGGGACCCCCAAATAGGCCATTGCAACAAGTCCCACTCAATTTGACCCCCTCCACGGTGAGAAAAATTCGCTCAAAGTGGTACGCGGAGAGCGAATTAGTACGCGCGGACGACTCCTTCGGTCTCCCCCCTTACGCGTTTGAACATGTCCCTCCACTTGGCCATCCACCCTCCCCTCTGTTGCTGCCACTGTGGCTGAGGCTGAAGTTGGAAGGTAGAACTCGTCCACTTTGCTTCCGCGGGGCCTCCAGAAAACGGGGTTTTTGGGAACGTCGTGCGATTTTGAGCCCATACAGTGCTAGACACTGTCCGACAGGCTTGCAAAATGCAAAAATCTCTGCAACTAAATTTTGGTGAGACACTGCCTTTAAGGACGATGAGAATTCTAGAGAATCTTTCTTATATATAAACTGGAAACATCCGGCGAGACGACGAAAACCATACATTGTTCTTCCACCCTGACGCCCACCTTCAGCGTTGCGGAGGGAGAGTTGTTGACTGTGTGAGCACGCGAGAAATCACCCTCTCTCGCAGAGGTTAAGGACGACGAGAATTCTAGAGAAACGGTGTACTCCCATCCGCAGGCAAGCTAGAGAGGAGAGAGTTGTCTCGACATTTGTCAATTGATCGCACCCTATAGGCATGCGATGATGGCAGGTGTTTTGACTTTGCTTGCGATGACGAATTGTGATGAAATACCGTATATTCGGTTTGATCACGGCCCTCACAGCTGTAGCATACCTACTGCTTACATACACAGTTCCACTTTTTTTCACGTTTAGCTACATTCCTCCTTCATTCTAAAGACTCCCTTGCCCCCCCCCCCCTCTCCCATTTTGCATAACAGTTTGGTAGGAAATCTGAGCATTGTAATTCTTCATAGAATAGTCGTCAGAGCTCAACATTTTGTGAAATGTTGACGAAAATCCTAATCCGAAGAGCAATTGAACAGCAAAAAGTGGGTTTTTGGCACGTTCTTTCTCTGCTGGTGACCAGTTTTTAGAGCGAAAATTTTTGTTTTTTCCCATAATTTCCACCAAAAACGGTAAAAACCTCGATTTCTACAAAAATTTCAGCCACAGAAAATGCATTTGCTCCCGGAGTGAAGACCCAACATGGAAGCTGTGGTCTCGCTGGTTGAGCTCCGGCAAACTTTCTCTGTGGCTGACCTATTTTTAGAGCGAAAATTTTTGTTTTTTCCCACAATTTCCACCAAAGACGGTAAAAACCTCGATTTCGACAAAATTTCAGCCAGAAAATGCCTTTGCTCCCGAGTGAAGACCAGCATGGAAGCTGTGGTCTCGCTGGTTGAGCTCCGGCAAGCCCTTTTGTGGCTGACCTGTTTTTAGAGCGAAAATTTTTGTTTTTCTCACAAGTTCCACAAAAACCTCGATTTCGACAAAACTTCAGCCGCAGAAATTCTGTCGAAATCGAAAACACCAGCCTTCCTTTGCTCCCGGAGGAAAGACCCACCATGCATCTGCATTGGTCAGCATTTCGGGAAAGCGATTATGTTGATTTTAAGTGAGCAACGAAAGAAGCAAGTGTATCAAGTAAGTGAAATCTGGTGGTGGCATTTGGAGGGAAAGATCAGGTATTTTTTGTGTCTACCTGCAAAGTCTGATTTTTGATTTATTTAGCTTCTCCAGAGAGGAGATGTGAACACCGTTTATAGTTAGATGCAGTCCCAAGTAAGCAAATACTAATGTATCTGCCCCGACCCACTTACAGCGGCCCGTAGGGCCGCTAGTCACTATATCTGACAAGAAAAAACGTTCTCGTGCTAATCTTCTTCATAATTGCAGTACCACCAGTATGTAATGGGACCTAAATCACTCGAGTGCACATCACTAGCTTCACCTTCAGTCCCTCATTCTCGAGATAATATTTCAATGACATAGTTGCAAAATTGATATATGTAACTATCTTTTACCGACATGTCTTTTGAGAACTGACCAAAATACGCAAAAAATGACTTTTTGTGCATAACAAAACCATATAGTCGTAACATTGAAATCATGGTAACTCTCTAGGGATGTTACAAAAAAGTGAAACGAACTAGAAACACAAATTGAACCAAATTCACTGTCGTCAACCAAGTTTTTACGTGGGGGCTCTTCAAATGACTCCCTCACTTACATGAGACTTTTTTTGCAGATGATATAACAATTCTTTGCCGCCCTTCAGGAATGAAAGGAGCTCGAGGTGGATGCCCGGAACGATTTGGGTTAGTTATACGTCCAATTATAATCTTTAATCTATTCTGCTCTTCTCTATATCTACTCATAAGTAGTGTTTTTTCTCACAGCTATGGATTTAATCCAATGAGCGGAACCTGTGAATACATTGGCCTCGGTGGCTGCTTTGATGATAAAGACAAATGCATAGAGATCTGCATTGACTTGGCTAGTACAACTACAACAGTATCAACAACAACAGGTACGCACATATGACGATTGGTAGAAAAATTTTTCTGTTACTATGCTAGCAACGATATATCCTATTTACTATGAAGTACAGGCACTGAATTAGTAAATCGTGACAGCATATTATAAACTAGATGCTACGACTACTACAACACCCACAACAACGACATCAACAACAAGCACGTCAGCAACAATAACTACGACATCACCGACAACGACCACAGGTATGAACATAAATCACTAAAAAACCCAGTAAAAAAAATAAGTTCTCACGTAGAGTCTCCCTCTTACCAATGCACATAAAGACGTCACGTTGCTATCAATAAATCGAGTGTAAGCAGTTTAACAGTCTCGGAGCTGTTTGCAACATCATTATGAAGAAAATAGCTAAAAATGATTGGGTGATGTAGCACTTTATATCTGCAATGAAAACTAAAAGAAATTTGCAAGCCAGTCTGTTGGTATTAGAACATGACATGGAATATTTAGTCTGATCCATAACCACTCCTATAGCTGGGAAAGAAAATCTATTATGTGTTGTGCTGAACTCTATGTCATATGGTTCTTGCTACCGACTTCCGTGCGCTGGTTACTGCCGGCCTGTTACGGTATATACCCTCTGCAGACGCTTTGAGTAGATCCAGTACCATCAATATGGACAACACAACGTCCCGTGCATATTTCAGTCATCTTCATTATTAGTCCCCTGTTATCGATGTTTTCATTGATCTGCACAGTTACAACAATTAATTGAAGATTGGAGTATGTACTAATCATATTTATTGAAGAACTGGCATAGCTGTGAAAAATTTCCGGAGATATCAAAACGGTACACGTGATTATAGTGTTGTCACGCAAAGGCAAGGACAACTGATAAAATCATAAGCCAAAAAATCAAGGGGTAAATTGCAGAGGTTAAGATTCAAGCAACAAAACGCTTTGATGCGGTTTTTCAAAACAAATAGTGCAACCCATCGTGTGCATCTTATTTATTTACGCATGCTATTTTCTTGTCTGTCTGATTTTGCAGGTGATATAATGATTATTTGTCGTCCCCCAGGAGTCAAAGGAGTACGAGGAGGATGCCCTGAACGATCTGGGTGAGTGTTACGTTTCGCAGCTGCGCTTTCTCAAACATCTAACAATAAGCAAAATTGTTCTTCAGCTATGGCTACGATCCAACAATGAGAGGCTGTAGATATATAGGCTCCGGTGGCTGTTTCAATACAGAGGATGAATGTTTAGAGATTTGCGGTAAGTCTTTTAGCACAACTTATTCGACAGTGACTGCTACGCACTTTGACGATTGCGGGATTGGTAATGGACGCAGCCAATAGCAGCATCTTTTCAACTTGCAAGCTATCACACTCTCTAGAACGTACACAATGATCTGGGTCTTTCTGCGCAAAAGTCTTTGCTTCCTGCAGCTCTCGTCGCCATGTTGGAAAAAAAGAAAAAATGACTTTAGAGAAAGAGCGAGCTGCAAAGAATTTCTCGTAATTATGAAAAAACCTTTGCGCTGTTTGAAATCTACAGCAATCAAATCGTTCACCCAAATGAGTTGAGCTAATAGTTCAGTACAAACAGACACAGCATCTGCTTCCTTCTTTTAGGCCATCGTCATTACTGGCAGCACTTCAAATGTTTAACTCATCGTATGCGCATTCTGAATGTACAATGCCTAGGGCATTCTATTACGGGAGTTATGTAAGCTATGCATTTGTAGATTACCAGTGTACGATTTGAAAGCATGCGATTAAGTCCCGTGAATTGGACGGTGCATAAATCGAGATAAAAGTGAGATATACAAAGATGCCTAAGAGTTTGCAAATTATACTAGAGCGTGAAAGTTACGGACGTGCAAACAATGTACAATACTTATATTTTTTGAGTTATATTTTTGACCACTATAAAACCTATAGTTAAATTTACTCGCGACAGGGTCTACGACAACAATAGTCATAACAACGACATCTGCTACAACAACGACTTCAACATCAACGACAGCATCGTCTACAACCACGATCACAGGTACGAGCCAGAGAAGGGAAATTTTGTTCGAGAAGGGAAAAACCAACAGATAATTCTTTCCAGAAAAGGGGATCTGAGATCCAAAATTGTGAGCATGCCAAGAAGATTTTTCCAAAATGTGTTCCAGCTTTGCAATAAGTTAATAGCCCCACATTTTTTTTAAAACCATCTATACAAAACATGAAAGTTCAAATTCATGTGAGTAAAAAATTTTGTGCCTAATGTTCCTCTCCCTTCCACCCCCTCCTCCTCCCCACCCCTCACTCCCCCCATGTTTACAAGCAATCAAAGAAAGTAGTAACCCCAACAAAACCTCATTTTTTCAGCAAAACGCCTGACGTGAATAATTAAGTGCCAGGCTGCTTAAGCTGTATCTCTGCGTTTGCCGTTTGCCAGAGAATAAAATTACTAGACGGGGAGCTGAATTTTGCCAAAATAATTTTAAAGCAGACACGCGAAGGATAGTTTGCAGCATGATCAGTATAAGATCTAAATAGTCAACAGTCACTTCTTACAAACAGCAACGGCAAATACAAATATTAAACATTATCTGCAATGTGAGGGAATAGAAATCCGGAGGTATAGATGCACTTCACTTAATCGCTTCCTCCTGTCATATGATCGCAGAACAACTGCTTCGTAGCTTTCAAGAAATAAGATCCAAATAATCGCTTAGCGATTGTTCTTGAGAAGGAATATTCTCCATAATCACTTTACTACTCATGGGCTGCGTTAGATATCTCTTTTAAGGGATGAAAAACTCCACACTCAGTTGTACAAAAAATTTTAGCTGCTTACGTATGAATGAAAAAACAGTGACAGACGTAGATGTGCGGATGAAACGGGAGCCAAAAAAGTTCTGCGTAGGTTTCATTAAATCACAGGCTATTTTCAGTAGAATGATAAAAATGATTTTATCGATTTTAAGTACGGTTTCATTCAACTTTTCGAGAGCTTTCTCGCCGCTAATCCCTATTAGAGCCTCCAAAACAACAAAAAAAATGGGTGTACACAGTTTTATTTATCCAAAGCAACCCAAGGACAAGTCGCTCTGCCTAGAAAAATTTGGGAGAATGTGATTTCGGCCATGTCCTTCATCCAAAGAAAATTGTGCCGAATAAGCAACGTTTTCTAGCTAGCAGATTATTTTCAAATTTTTCAGTAGATATACAAACAAGCTACCGCAGCTGTTTGCAGAACATAAACTTTTTACAGATATCTGTCAACTGCAGAGAGACCCAGGAACGGGTGACCAAATGCTTTACCAGTTAGTTACCCGAAAAAGCTTTTTTCTTGTTATAACCTATAGTTCGTATTCGATTAAGGTACTATTATTCGGCAGAAAAGGACGAATGCTTTGTACTCATCTATCGAGGCAGCGGAGGCAATGAAAACAGATTCAATACTGTAGAAGATTGTTGGCTAGCGTGTTCTCCAAGAAATGCAAGTGAGAATCTTGTCTCTGCTTGAGCTTTAATGAAGAAACTCCTCCTTCTACATCTGAATCTCTAGTTCAATCTACCCTAATTTCACGCTATAGGACGCAGGGGATTTTTTTTAAATCAAACAGCACAGACACACCAAAGGACTTCGCAACATAAAAACTATATACAGTGCTACATACCGTCTAAGATTATCGTGCAGCATACGCCTCGTTTTCTAAAACATAACGAGGCGGGAGCGGCACGTTTGAAAGACCGAAAAAGGTGCGTCTTACAGCTTGAAATTAGGATAATGCACTTCAACTTTGAGTTCTCCCTACCAGACGGCGCAATTTACACGCTGAAATCACAGTTTTCAATTCAGGAGATTCACTCTGTTTCCCACCGCAAGTAAAAGGAGGAGAAATACCATGCGCAAAAGCGTGGGGGTGAGTATTGCGTAAAATATATTTGTTCTTTTCTGACGCCACTGGCTCAGATACCGCTATGACTTCACGCTCAATAAGTGCGAGATCTCCCAATCTAAGGGTTGCTTCAGTACTCAACAGCAATGCACAGAACTGTGCGTCAGGGAGACAGAGACAACTGAAGGTAGGGGAGCAAATCGTAGATCGAACAAATCATTTGGTAACTCAAATAATGAGTAAACATACCAATCGTTTTATAGATACTAGTTCAGTAATTCGGACCCTTTTCTCAAAAAGCTCTCGTATAATACGTTCTTCAACCCACTGACGACGATGTGGGCCACCGTTAGCTCACGCACTTTCTGCTGCCAGGGACGATGGGACTACCGGTGGTTCAAACTTCTGGAAAAGTCATGTCATTTGTAGGTCAAGTATTTCCACATATTGATACAATACCGCTCACATTTTTTGAAAAATAGACGCGAATGTATGGACATGTATGGACATGTACGGACATGTCCATACATGTATGGACATGTCCATACATCAGCGTCGCGTGGCCATATCTCGCTTCAGAGTGGACGAATTCTGAATCCAAAGCCACCATTCGATTCAGCTCGGCGCGGAGAATCTTCTGATATATTGGAAGTGGGGGTACGATGTCTTCGATATTCCGTTTTCAGTTTTTTCAATTTGTTCTGCGGAGGTCCCTTCGCGAATATGTGAAGCAGCGCCTACCCAACATAGAAAACTTTACTAAGTACTATTCGATAATACTGTTCTTGTAGATTATTGCGCGCTAAAAAATAGGCTCAGAATTCTTTTCAAAGGAGATAGAAGCGTTGGTGAATTTTGGAAAAATCGCGCGTTTTTGAATTCCACTCGCCATAACTTCCTTCGGAATAAGTATATTTTGAATCCGAAAACAGCGCTTTGCTCAGCTCGTGAAGGCGAATCTTACTGTATACAGCATGTCCTCAATATTTCGATTTCAGTACTCTTGAATCTTTCCGAGGACGTCTTTTCGCGAAGGCGTAAAGCAGCGAGCATTGTCCCGAGAACATTCCAGCAAGGATCTTTCGATAACATTTTTCTGTAGATTATGATGTGCTAAAAAGCAGCCGCAGGTTTCTTTTCAAAGGAAATAGAACGGCTGGTGAATTGTGGAAAAATCTTATCGTCCCAAATTCTACTCGCCATAGCCGCAGGATACGAAGCTATCTTGCTAAGCAGATGTGAGTTTCGAAATCAGCAGGTCGGATGACCTCTGTGAGCAAGCTTTCCGATATGTTCGGATTATTCCATTTTTTCTCGTTTTACGCTCCAGAAGCTCGCCGATGGATTTTGGTCAAAATGTTGATGCTCCTGAATTGTAAGGAAACTTCGCTCATAGAGGTTTTCGAACACGCTCTTTACGAAAATCGTGGTCTTTGAGGATTACAGGGTCTTTTTGGAGAGATACGGTGAGGTGACTGTAACTGAGTCACGAAAGTTCGTAAATTTGCCTGCACTTTTCGCGAATTTGTCAGAAAACTTGCCTGCTTGCTTTTCTCAGTCAAAGTTACTAGAAACTGTGCTATCGAATAGTGCATTACTCAGGCTCCAGTCTGTGAAATTCGCCGAGTTACGAGCCTACGTAAACACGTCCTCATGAATTTTGCCCAAAATGTAAAGATCGCATCTCGTCGAAATTCCTCCGTGAGCGCTTGTATGACGCTCGTTGCAGATATTATGTTCGCTTCGTCGAACGACTCCCACTGTACTGAATATGGTGCTTGCGTCTGCTTCAGCTGCTCAATTGAATATCAAAGCTATTTCGTGGCTAGAGCTCAAAGCACCAAATCCAACACAATAAGATCCATTGAAAATGTGGAAGGATTTGATCAGCGCGTTGTACAAGCGCACACGGAGGAATTTCGACGAGATATGCGATCTTTATACTTTGGGCAAAATTCATGAAGACGTGTTTTCGTAGGCTCGTAACTCGGCGAATTTCATAGACTGGCGCCTGAGTCATGCACCCTTCGATAGCACAATTCCTAGTAACTTTGGCTGAAAAAAGCAAGCAGGCAAGGTTTCTGACAGATATGCGAGAAGTGCGGCCAAAGTTACGCACTTTCGTGATGCAGTTACAGTCACCTCACCATATCTCTCCAGAAAGACCCTGTAATCCTCAAAGACCACGATTTTCGTAAAGAGCGTGTTCGAAAACCTCTATGAGCGAAGTTTCCTTACAATTCAAGAGCATCAACATTTTGACCAAAATCCATCGGCGAGCTTCTGGAGCGTAAAACGAGAAAAAATGAAATAACCCGAACATATCGGAAAACTTGCTCGTAGAGGTTATGCGACCTGCTGATTTCGAAACTCACATCTGCTTAGCAAGATAGCTTCGTATACTGCGGCTATGGCGAGTAGAATTTGGGACAATAAGATTTTTCCACAATTCACCAGCCGTTCTATTTCCTTTGAAAAGAAACCTCCAGCTACTTTTTAGCACATCATAATCTACAGAAAAATGCTATCGAAAGATCCCTGCTGGAATGTACTTGGGACAATGCTCGCTGCTTTACGCCTTCGCGAAAAGACGTCCTCAGAAAGATTCAAGAATACTGAAACCGAAATATCAAGGGCATGCTGTATACAATAAGATTCGTCTTGATGAGCTGAGCAAGGCGCTGTTTTCGGATTCAAAATATACTTATTCCGAAGGAAGTTATGGCGAGTAGAATTTTGAAACGCGTGATTTTTCCAAAACTCACCAATGCTTCTATCTCTTTTGGAATGAAGTCTGAGCCTATTTTTTGACGCACAATAATCTACAGGAGCAATATTATCGAAAACTACTTAGTAAAGTCTTCTATGTTGAGTAGGCTTTGCTTCACATAATCGCGAAGTGACCTCCGCAGAACAAATTGAAAAAAACTGGAAACGGAATATCGAAGACATCGTACCCCCACTTCCAATATATCAGAAGATTCTCCGCGCCGAGCTGAGTCGAATGGTTGCTTTGGATTCAGAATTTGTCCACTCTGAAGCGAGATATGGCCACGCGACCCTGATGTATGGACATGTCCATACATGTCCATACATTCGCGTCTATTTTTCAAAAAATGTGAGCGGTATTGTATCGTTCCAATTTTTTTGCACGTTTGGAAACTGTAGGCTCCGTCGTTCAAGGAAATGCCTACAGTTGTTTACAAAACAATTCTGCATTTTGTTAACCACGAAATTTTCACACACCGCAAGCGTTGTGCAAAATCGCGCTGTCCCATAGCGCCGTCACGCAAAATCAGGCGTCGTCGTCAATGGGTTGATCTAACCATAAGAGTAATTTTTTTTATAGATTTATAGATTCTACGAGGACTGCCTCCTTGCCACGTGTCACAAAAAGTTGACATGTTTTGGACTATTTTGACATGTTTCTTCGAAATATTTCCGGTAAAGAAAATTTGTGATCACCTAAAAGCTGCTATTAACTGTTTTCTACATGAGCAAAACACTCTTCTGATTGTAGAACAAACATATTGCTTTCAGCAATGATTCAAAAATGTCTTTTCTTCAAACACTTTTAGCATGCGAATTCAAGCAGAAAAGACTGTACATGATGGCTTGAAGAACATTGCTGCTGCTTATTCGCTTAAATGAGAATCCTAGGGCATTTCTCTATTTCAAGCAAGCCTCATCCCTTCATCGATAATAGCATTTTATTATTATTAAGACAATGTTCATTTTGAGATTGTTTGGTCGAAATGAGGTTAAAATTGACTAAAAAGCATTACCGAGCACTTCACTAAGTAGGATGCAATACTCTTGGTGAAACTTGTTAAACATGTAGATGACATGTCAATTTTTTTGACACGTGGCAAAAGGTTGACACTCCTTTCTGTGAAGCTGGGAGCAAGTATGGCACAAGAATAGAAGAAATACCCTTCTTCAATAAATGGGTCCCGATAACGAAAAAGTACCCAAAAATCAACCATTTTTTCTACAGCGCTTACATCAAAACCGTTCAGTAGCACTTCAGTATCATAAGCATACAGATAAAGATTCCCAACTCTCATTCACTGCAATCCTCTTTCGCAGTAACGTAATACACCTGTAACATAAGTTGGAGTAAAATACACCTGCAACATAAGTTGAAGTAAATAGATCTGGTGTAATCTATCTTTTTGCTAAAACTTCCGATAAATCGAATTCTTTACAGCTCTTACAACAGAACCAACAACTACAGCTCCCACTTCTACAATCCGTACGACAACAGATAAAGGTAAATTTTTTCCTCTACCTTATTTTTAGCTTCAATGTAGGATTACACTGATAACATGATCACCTCATAGTTAGGAAACAACGCTTTTTAAAGCATCCACAACAGTACCAGCGACTACCTCTAGTGAATACTCTACCTCGACTGTGACTACAACAACAAGTAATTCCATTTACTTTCACTTTTCACAACATCACTTGTATTTTTACAATATTTTTTCACATATCTAGTAATTATACTATTCATATATATCTAACAGCCATACTATTTATTTACTTTCATACAACTCTACAAAGATGTAATTCGTTATGCAAAATGTGACAAGGGTCATTTTGTCAAGCCACTGCCTTTAAGAGAGCTTTAATACCAGCAATGTAGACAACTTAATGTTCAGTGCAAATTTCAACTTCGTCAATGGTTCCGTCAGTATTGACTAGTCTGCACAGTTGAGAAGATTTTGAAAATTGAAGCATATATCCAATCACTTATTCAAAAGCTGAAATAGCTGTACGGAAAAAGTTGTTTGTAGTCAAAACGGTACACCTGGTTACAGCGTTGTTACCCAGAGGGAAAGGCAGCTCATGAAATCTAATGCAAAAAAGGTAGAAAAAAAGGAATTGCCATTGCTAAGATTTAAACAAGATAAGGCCAACTTTATGGAATCCTTGTATGATGAAAAAGAGATAAGATGCCACTGCCATTCAAATATACCGAAATACCTCAATTTGATTTGGTTCTTCACAAATAATGAACATATCGCGCTTCTTATTTATCCATGCATCTTATCTTGTCGTCTGTCTTATTTTGCAGGTGATATAACAATTGTTTGTCGTCCTCCAGGAGTGAAAGGAGTACGAGGAGGATGCCCTGAACGATCTGGGTATGTGTTACGTTTCACAGCTGCGCTTTCTCAAACATCTAACAATAAGCAAAATTGTTCTTCAGCTATGGCTACGATCCAACAGTTAGAGGCTGTAGATATATAGGCCCCGGTGGCTGTTTCAATACAGAGAAAGAATGTTTAGAAATTTGCGGTGAGTCTTCTAGCACAACAAATCATTCAACGTGAGAGGCAACGCACTTTGATGATTGTGGGATTGGTAATGAGATGAATTCGCAGTCAATAGCGGCACCTTTCCATTTTTCAAACTGACAAGCTAACACTCCCTCTAGAATATACTCAATGATCACGAGTCCGCGTGGCATGGACAAACGAAATAAATGACTTAAAAAAGAGCAGCTGCAGAGATTTCTCGGATATATGGGAAAAAACTATGAGTTGCGTTGAAATCTAGTGCAAGAGAGCCGTTCACTCCAAATGAGCTGAGCTATTAGTTCAATGCGAACAGACACCGCGTCTACCTTGCTTCTTTGTACCATTGTCTCTTACGACAACAGATCCAATCCTTCCGTTCAGTACTCCTATAGTAAAGAGTAGTAAAGCACTTCAAATTAAAAGCTGGAACTAAAATACGCTGAACCATTGAAGCATAGAACTTTTTGAGCTGCCTTTTCCAACACTGTTTGTACAAAGACTCTCACCTTTGGCTTTGGTATTACTTCAAATGTTTAGCTCATCGTAAGCGCATTTGAATGTACAGAGGCTAGGGCATTCTGTTATAACGCGAAAGGTACTAAGCTATGCATTTGTAGACTGCCAATGTCGAATTTGAAGATGTTTAACAAACTGAAATTCCATAAAATGCGGCCGAGGCATGAATCTACGTAAAAGTGTGAGATATACGGAATGCCTATAAGTTCGTATACTAGGTCGTAGAGTTAAGGACCGCGAACAATGCACAATACCCATATTTTTGAGTGATAATTTTTATAACCCCTAGAAAATCTACCGTTAGATTGACAGGTGTTGTCGTAGACCTCTCGACAGGGTCTACGGCAACACCTGTCATGACAACAACATCTGCTACAACAACTACTTCAACATCAACACAAGCATCGTCTAAACTACAACCCCAGGTACGGGCCAGAGAAGGGGCAAAAATTTCGTTTGGGCCATGCAGAAGTGGGACCTGGGGTCCGAAGATGTGAGCATGCGAAGATTTTTCCAAAATGTTTTCCAGTTTTTCGACGGGTCAATAGCCCTCAGAAATTTTTTTTTGCAAGCCAGGTAACAAAATGTGAAACAAATCTTGAGCTGCTTACAGACACTTGCACAGTTACAAGTTCATGTGGGCAAAAAAATGCTGTGCATTCTAATGTGCCCCTCTCCGCTCCGCATTTTTTACAAGTCATCAGCGAAAGCAGTAACAGCTTACTAAAATTTTACCGCATTATTTTTTTAGCAAAACGCCTGACATGAATTGACTGCCAGGCTGCTTAGGAGCTGCTTCAGCCAAAAAAATTCTCAAAGCAGATCTCACGCGGAAAATGATTCGTAGTGTGATCAGCATAACAGTTAACAGTCGCACAAAAAATTGAGATCTGGTTTGCTGCTCAGGCTCCGTATATTTTTCCACACTGCACACTTCAATTTCATCAACTCACAAGGGAACCGTGTCGAGTCGAAGTGGCCTTTCCAGATGAGACCCATACTGCTCTAAAGAGCACTTATCGGTGATTCTAAATCTGCTTTCCAAATCTGCCAAGCGCCTCTAGACGCCAAGTTATGCTCGTTTTTCAGGTCAAAAAAATGAATGCAAAACTGAAGCAAAATCGCCGAAATTTGCTCAAATGGTCCAGTGTCAAGTATCAAAGCTGTTTATGCAATGGATACATTTTATTCAATATGCTAAGACTTAACATTGCTTTATCTGAGCGCTGGAAAGATTGTAACAATCAATTTTACCTAAACTCTGCATTCATTTTTCGTTCCGAAGAACGGTCATAAGTCGGCGTCCAGAGGCGCTTGGCAGATTTGGAAGGCAGATTTGGAATCACCGCTTAATACCCTTCAAAGCGGTATGGGTCCCATCTGGAAAGGCCACTTCGACTCGACACGGTTTCCTTGTCAGATAAATTCTTACACCATCAGCGGCAGATACAAATAAAATTATCCGCCATGGGCGCGAAAAAATCCGGAGGCATCAATCAGGATTCTTCTTGCTACGATATGATTGCAAAGAAACTACTGCTTTCCTGCTTTTGAAAAATAGATGCAATATCGCCTAGCGATGCTTCGAGGAAGAAATTCCCTAACCACTTTACTACTCATCTTGGCCCGCGTTAGACAATTCTTCGGAGGGTTGAAAAGATTCCACATTGCGTCTTAGAAAAAATTTTCGCTGCATACGTGTGGGTGAGAAAACAGTTTCAGATGCAGTTGTGGAGGTGAAGCGGGCTTAAACAACAAGCAACTTTAAGTAATGGTAAAAATGGTATCAATATTCTCGAGAGTACAGTCTCGTTTCAAATTTTTAAGAGCTACCTGCCGCCACCATGACCAAAAGAGCCTCCAAAAACATGAAAATGAGAATGTTATGAAAATTACCGAGGGAATAAAAATACAGCTTTATCGTCTTCCCAAACCAACCTGAAGACAGCGAGTCTCTTTGAAGAAAATTTCGCATAGTGTGACTTCAGCCACTTCTTCCAAAGAAAATATTGCTGTGCCGTAAAGTTCCTACCACTGGCTAATTACGCAGTAAGATCCTTGAGCAGCAGTTGTCTATGTACATAAGAAATTTTTTTTTCATTAGATATCATTCACAGAACATGAACTTTATTTTGCAGATATCTGTCAGCTGCCGGAAGACCCAGGAACGGGTGATAGAATGCTGTTCCAGTTAGTCACTCCCAAAAAGCTTTCTACTTATTATATAATTGTTCATTTTCAATTAAGGTTTTATTACTCGGCAGAAAAAGACGAATGCCACATACTTATTTATCGAGGCAGTGGAGGCAATGGAAATAGATTCAAGACTATAGAAGATTGTTGGCTAGCGTGTTCTCCAAGGAATGCAAGTGAGAATTTTGTCCCTGCCATTGTTGAAAAAACGCTCCTTAACATTCAAACCTTTGAATTGTTTCTAATACACTTCAACTTTGATTCCTCTCAACAAGAAGACACCATTTTCACGCTGAGTTTACACTTTTTCAATTCAGGGGATCTCTGCTTCCCACCGCAAGTAAAAGGAGGAGTGATACCATGCGAAAAACCGTCGGGGTGAGTATGAAGTGAAGCATATTTTTTTTCTGATGGCAATGGCTCAGATACCGCTATGACTTCACACTCAACAAGTGCGTCATCTCCCAATCTAAGGGTTGCTTCAGTACTCAGCAGCAATGCACAGAACTGTGCGTCAGGGAAATAGAGACAACTGAAGGTAAGGAAGTTTGTAGGCAAACAAATCATTTTATAATTCGATAAGTAAATGGATCTTTATAGAACATCGATCAATTTGCTAAGTACTGATTCACTTTGCTAAGGCAAAAATCAACAATTGTTTTTCACAGCAGTTACATCACAACCGTTTAGTAGCATTTCTACCAAAGGCATTATTACCGATAAAAATAGGCAGTCCCCATCTTTTGTAATTCTTTGTTGCACTATAATACAACTGTAACATAAGTTGAAGTAAATATATCTGCTATGTAATCTAGCTTCTTGCTAAGACTGTCAACAGATTGAATCTCTTTACAGCTATCCCAACAGAACCGACAACTACCGCTGCCACTTCTACAATCCTTACGACAACAGAGGAAGGTAATTTTCGTCCTTCCACCATAATTTTAGCTTTGGTGTAGGATTACAATGATATCATGAGGACCTCATAGTTAAAAAAACACTTTTTACAGCATCCACAACCGTACCAGCGACTACCTCTAGTGAGTACCCTACCACTATTCTGACTACAACAATAGGTAACTCCATTTACTTTTATTTTTTTTACAAGATTCTTTCACTTGGGTTGCACCTACAATAGTCGATCATCTTCATAGTGAACCAATGTAAGATGTAATTCGTTATTTTGTTTACTTTTTCTGAAAAATCGAAAACTCGAAGAGAACAGTACCAACAATTACCCTTTTTATGTTTGCAACAAGAAGTACTGATATCCACTATTTCTTCGAAGTTTTTGGTTTCATAGTATTAACCATCACTATTTGATTTCAACTATGTATTAGGTTGTCCGAAAATTAATGTCCGTTTTCGCTTTCAACCGCCATAATTCGTACATTTTTCATTCCTGAATAGGCTTCAAAATACCATTCGATAGAGCAAAGCAAGCTCTACAGAATGGCTATCTTGCTTTAGCAACAGCTCTGACCCACCTCGAGTTTCAAGCCAAAAACTAAAAAGATTCAACTACCCGAAAAATCGAGAAAAATCATAACTCATTCATAAGAATCCTACAAAGATTTCTATTGCTCATAAGAATCCTACAAAGATTTCTATTGCTCACGTAAACACTATCCACATAAGACATATATGTACGCCGTTGCCGTATTTTTCCCTCTGTTAAAAATCAAGAAAACGAAAATTTCCATGCTTTTGCCAAAGTGATGCTGTGTCATCCTCACATAAGTAGATGTGTACTACAAATCTGTAGAAGTACAGACGTAAATTTTCAGCTCTCCACATGCTTCAATTCACGAGAAACATCGAATATAGCTTTCATCAGTCAGGTGGTCCAAGCTAGAATTCAAATTTCTCGAGAACTAAAGCTTGTAGAGAGCTGGAAATTCACGTTTGCACTTCTACAGGTCTGTAGTATACATCTACTTATGTGGGGACGACACAGCATCACTTTGGCAAAAGCATGGAAAATTTCGTTTTCTTGATTTCTAACAGAGAAAAAAATACGGCAACCGCGTGCATATATGTCTTATGTGGATAGTGTTTACGTGAGCAAGTTAGAATTTTTGTAGGATTCTTTTGAACTGAGTTATGATTTTTCTCGATTTTTCACGCAGTTGAATCTTTTTAGTTTTTGGCTCGGAACTCGAGATGGGTCAGAGCTGTCTGTCGCTGAAGCAAGACTGCCATCATGTAGAGCATGCTTTGCTCTATTGAATGGTATCTTGAAGCCCATTTAGGAATGAAAAATGTACAAATTATGGCGGTTGAAAACGAAAACAGACATTAATTTCCGGACAACCTAATACTTTTTCTGGCAAAGAATCTTTTTGATGTCAAGCAAAGTTTCCGCTATACAGAGTGTCCTAAAAGTACGTATTCACTGCTTGATCGTTAACTCCCTTGGCAAGAAGAACTTTGCTAACCTTTAGATAATATTCTGTAGAACTGGCTACAACCTAGACTTATGGTATGGAATAAATGAGGTATCTTTTCTGCTCGCTGCGAAATAGAATTTTTGATAACGGTTTGGCCTTGGGCCATATTTCGCTCAAAAAGGGAAATCAAACAATCTGAAAACTTTTGCACTAAGTTAAAAGCCGATGAATACAAATTGAATATTTGCATTTCAAAATATAAATTAAATATTTGCATTTCACCGTAATGATTCGTTCATGAGTTATGCCAAGTATACCGCATAAAACATTCTTTGTTCGTGTGATTACACCATTGAGAAAGCCTAGTAAACTCGTAAATACTCATGCTTTGAAATCAATGTCTGAATACCCTACTACACAAACTTTCAGATCATTTGGTTCCTACTGTACTTAGAATAAAAAAGCGATCTGTGTGATTCGCTCCATCTTGCAAATCTAGATTAAAGCCAGCTCTACAAAACGGTACCTCCCACGGTAGCTCATTCTCAATATTGTGTATCTTGACCTCACTCCATTCGCATATCCTCTGTCGTAGAAGTCTAACACTTTTGAATGAGCCTACAAACAGGCCCGTAGAATGGCATTTTCAGCCCGTAGAATCATTTTCGAAGTGCAGGTGAGGTCATGGGCGCGCACTTCCAAAGGGTCATTTTCAGCGAAGAAACTTACTAGCACATGTCCGATGCATAGAGAAGGGTAGAAAGCATCCATTTATTTCAGAAAGCTTTGTCAGAATATTTTGATTCTGCTTTCATGCGGAGAAATTTGGTTTGGAAGAGGAAATTAGAACTTAATTTCTGAAAAAACGCAAAAAATTCTAATGCATTTCTAGGAACTAGTCATAGCCAGATTATAATCCTCGATGAGCTCTGCTAATAGTATGCTTACCTGCTCCGATTGCTGTTTCACTTTGGCCCTTTCAATTTCGATGCTTCCACTAATTGCATAGCTGCAAAGATCGAAAAATGAAATGTACATGTATCCAGTCATATTTATCCAAGAACTGCCAAAGCAGCGCAAAAAAATGAACACATAAATATCAGAACGGCACAGGTGGTTATAGTGCTCTCACATAAAGAGAAGGCAAATTTTTCAAAATTTCATACAATGAAAAGTAGAGGGACAATACCATTACCAAACTTGCATTTATATGACCTTCATTTTGCAGATAATGTAACAGTTATTTGTCGTCCCCCAGGAATAAAGGGATTACGAGGAGGATGCCCTGAAAGATCTGGGTAAGTGATACAATCTACCCAGCCTGCTTTCTCAAATGTAACAACAAGCAAAATCGTTTAGATATGGCTACGATCCAATAAATGGAGACTGTAGATATATAGGCCCCGGTGGCTGTTTCAATACAGCGAAGGAATGCGTAGACATTTGCGGTGGGTCTTCTAGCACAACAATACAATCGACAGTGAGAGGTACGTACCGCAAGTTGCTTCACCACGTTTAGCATAGTTGGAAAAATTCATTTGAAAAGCGAGCTAGAGGATTATCGAATTATGGAAGACTGACATACCCGACTCCGCTTGATCCTTTCGATACCTATATGCCACTTCTCTGCCCCCAAGTATTCTCAATCGGCATGCATGCTCACTACCCCGCTGTGACATCCGCCGCTTTTCTAGCTACTCTGCTTAAAAATCGATAGATGTAGAAAGTACAGTCAAGTAGATTTCCTGCTCAATACAGTGTCCCTGCAGACGCGACAACGCTAGGGCGTCAACAAATGCTATTGCGAAGTTTCGAGCGCCGTTTTCTAGAGTTTTCTTTGCTTGTTTTTTCTTTTTCAGGGAATTCGTTGCTGATAAAGGACTGACAGGTATGTTGAAGAGTAATTCCTTTTTTTGAATAGTTATATCGTCGCTAATTCTCAGATGTCTATGTTGAATTCACGTCGCGTCAGCTTCATGTGTATTTTTGTCACATGATGCCTTTTTTTCTTGTAAAGCATTTCTTTGAGCTAATAGGCTCTGCAGCAACTTGGACTTGCCTCCAAAAGCAGGCAATCATCGGAGTAGTCCGGAATAAAGACATTAAGTCACACCTAAAAGCCTATTAGCGTTCAAGAAATGGTTCACAAGATAAAAGAGGCATCATGTGACAAAGAAAATGAAGCTAAGAGGCATGAAGTGACAGAAAATACGCGTGAAATTGACGACGACGTAGTTTTCACGTAAATACTTGGAATAAGCGATGATTTACATACTCAGGAAAGAGAAACTTCTTGCTAGCTTACCTTTTTCCTTTATCAGCAAGGACACACCTAAAAAACAAAAAAAATAAGCAAAGGAAATGCTGTCAAACTCTTGCTGAAACTCGTAGTGCAATTATTGACGCATAGGCGTTGTCGCGTCTGCAGAGACACTATATTGAGCAGAAAATCTACTCGACTGTATTTTTCCAAATTCAATGTTACTCTCATTATCACAATGCCACTTATTGCCACTTTCTGGCAACTACCAGCCGCAAAAACTTGAAATAGTCAATAAGAGATTGGTATTCGGAAAGTTAATACTGTATTAACTCCCCGCCGCGCACCTCAAAATTTGAATCGGTTAAATCGATATTAATTGCTAGCGAAAAAGAGCCTAACAAGGGAACGATCCCAACTTAAAGGCAGCGTCCAGGCAGATCTGGACCTATGGGGCTTTTACGTGGAAAGTACTTTTGGGGCCCTAACTAAGGCACTGCCCAAGAGGCAGCTCAGGTAGTGCTGTAATGGCTGAAATATTTCCCTCGAAACTGGACCCCGCGACCGTGTTTCGCATGGATTCATGGCGCAAAGCGTGGATCCTAGCGCGAAACTGCCATGAATCCATGCGAACACGTTCGCGGAAGCCAGTTTCGAGGGGAATATCTCAGCCATTAGAGCACTACCTGAGTTGCCGCTTGGGCAGTGCCTTAGTTAGGGCCCCTAAAATACTTTCCACGTAAAAGCCCCATAGGTCCAGATCTGCCTGGACGCTGCCTTTAAGGCGGCGAATTGGAATGAACCACATACCATAAGATGCGTCTTGATGAACTGATTCCAAATCTGTCTTCCATATCTGCGACACCGTTATCTGCAAAAAGTTATGACCGGTTGAAAATGTGAAGTTATCGGGGTTTCAATGCATAATACGCTTTAAAATCCAACTTGGAAGTGCACGACTAGCATGATATTGAGTGTACTACTGATTCCAAGAAATGCTCAGATTCCAAGGAAACACAGATAAGTGTTTTTGAACAGCTAAAAGCAACTAAAGTTTTCTGGTAAAAGCTATGAGCAATGAATAATAGTCCAAATTTGGCAAATGTACGGCGCCATACCTCGAAAATTAGTTGTCCAAAAACACTTATCTGTGTTTCTTTAGAATCTGAGCATTTCCTGGAATCAGTACACTCAATATCATGCTAGTCGTGCACTTCCAAGTTGGATTTTAAAGCGTATTATGCATTGAAACCCCGATAACTTCAACATTTTCAACCGCTCATAACTTTTTGCAGATAACGGTGTCGCAGACATGGAAGACAGATTTGGAATCAGCTCATCAAGACGCATCTAACGGTATGCGGGTCATTCTAATTCGCCACCTTGAGTTGGGATCGTTCCCTTGTAAGACACCTGCCTGCCTCGAAGTGTATCCGTGCAAAGCTTGATCGTCCGAATCGGTACAGAGATCGAATTTTCTATTGGGTTTATTACACACAGACACACCTGCACATAAATAGACATTCAGCTTTATGTATACGATACCATGAGTTGCGATTTGAAGTTTTGTGGCGCTAGAAAGTGTAAAAGAGCTCAGCTGTTCGTTTAGCGCAAAGCTACCACTATGGTAACGCTGCGCCCTCATGGCTTCACCATACTTAAAGGTGATCCTTAAGCTTTTCGTCTGCTTCACTTCTCTAGGAAATCCGCCTTTTACCGATAGCATAATATATTGCTCCCGTTTGATACTCCTAAAGTAAGCAGTAAGCACGAAGTATGAGGCTTTTTTGAGCTCTGCTACATTGTTTAATCAAATACCCTCTCATCTCAACGTATTTCGCGAACCTATTGGTATCATTGTAGAGATGGCTTCATTATGGGTTTATAAAATACAGCGAATCATTAACTCTTTAGTTAGATCAACCTCAAATGGTGATCTCGATTGTACGCTAGTTATACTGAAGCGAAACAGTCACTGACGATCAAAGTGTGTAACCTTTGCTTCAACTGACTTGGCGGCTAGAAAGCGGGGCTTTGTTACCTAATTAGGGCCGCTCGCACTCGCGACGCAGTCTCTTCCGCGCGCGTGCTCTCTCATCACTACCTAGCCTTAATTAGGTCACGAAGCCCCGCCTTCCAGCCGCCAAGCCAGTTGAATCAAAGGGTATACGCGCTTTTGAAACATATGAATAACCACCCGTAACACAGAGCCTACAACAACATTCCCTGTCATAACAACGACATCGGCTGCAGTGACTACCTCTGCATCAACAACAGCATCGTCTACAACTACGACCGCAGGTACGAACCAGTCAGTTTCGGGGTGGGGGTGGGGGCGGGGGAGGAGGGAGAGGGACACAGCCAACATTTGCGATTTTAGTAAGTCATCAACTCAAAAGCCCAGTCCAGTGTTACGCAGGCCTTGAAATACCGAACAAAGGCATTAGCTTACTCGCTTGAAGTTGCCACCTGCTGAGTGTAACTGATTTTAATTTAAAAAACTGAGTCAAATATTTACTAGCTGCATTGTCGAAAGTTTTTGACCTTTAAATATATTTAGGATTTACTTTGTGGTTAAACTGAGCCGCCCCTGCGACTATTTAAATCACTTTACGAATTTCAAATGCATCTAGAACTTCAAAAAAACACATTCTATTCACTATTTGATGTCCGACTGGCTATGGAAATCGCGCTTCTTGATAGACACTCAAAATGGGGCTGGGCAGAGGGGGGAGAGGTGGAGTTATATAAGGTCGTTTCGTATGAACACGTTAACCACGAAATTTACTTTTTCGAAACGCTTCCCAACGCGTTAGCACGGCTCTGACTCCGAGTATTTTTTCTTGACTAAGCTGGGTCAGTGTTCTAGAAAGTTTCATTGAACATGTAAAATCATCCCATAGTCATTTGCACGATTTCGTGACTCATGTAGAGCCATCGATCTCCATTCTCGGTCCTCTCTCAAACGAAGCACACAACAAATGACGCAGTGTACTGAAAAATCTTACCGCATTACAAATTACAATATCCTGTATGTGAAAAAAAAATCATCGCACTATCGGAGTTCGGCGAACTTCGCATCGCATCCAAACATCTTGCTCCTTACGTCCAAAAGCGTCTTTAACTCGGGAAGAATGCCTTTTTTGGTGCAGTGACCGTTCGAGAAAAGGCACATGTTGCTGAGGTCAGCAATCTGTGTTATTCTTGAAATGCAATCCTTTTATGTGAAAAGCTTTTGGAGAACGTTGTGGCGTTGGAAACACAATGCAAAAGCCGTGTTTGTGAAACGATTTGAACATGCAACTCTCTGCGTAATAAACAACCATATTCGCGCTGCAACATTTTGTCACGATAGCGGATACTGCGCTTGCTTGAATACCAGGTGATGTGTAAGCACGGCAAAGCTTGTGAATTTATTTTAGAAAAAGCGTGTCGCAGATAAGGGTTGTAGGCACAGTAACATGCACCTCATCTTGAGTTATTTGGCGGTGATTTTTTTTCCACCTTTTTCACGAATTACGAGCGGTACTGTATTCAGGCCGCATACTAGCTGCCTCGTTTGCGTTCGCAAGGATTGTAATTACAACCAGAGAAACAACAGGACATTCAGCGAGAAAAAATTCTCAGTCTTATGCGAAAGATAACATGCAGTATCATCAGTAAAAGACTTTGTTTTTACAACCATCACGATCAATGCAAATATTTGTAGTTCTATTTATAACGCAAAGAAATTCTTTTAGAGATACAAATAAGCTAATAATCAGTACATATAGTTGTTTTCAGTACGTATTGGTCTTTTCTATCGTATGCCTTCCAGCCTCAACATGACGTGGATTGGTGCGGCGCCGCCTCGCTTCAGGACTGCACCGCGTAGCGGACGCTCATTTGGTGTGGCAATCTGATGCGGCGCCTCACCAGTCCACGTCTTGTTGAGGCTAGAAGGCATACGGTAGAAAAGACCAATACGTACTGAAAACGACTGTAAACCTTATATTGCAGATATCTGTCAACTGCCGGAAGACCCAGGAACTGGTGACCAAAGGCTGTTCCAGTTAGTCATCTCCAAAAAGCTTTCTATTTATTATACGCTATAGTTCATTTTCGATTAAGGTTTTATTACTCAGCAGAAAAAGACGAATGCCACATACTTATTTATCGAGGCAGCGGAGGGAATGGAAATAGATTCAAGACTATAGAAGATTGTTGGCTAGCGTGTTCTCCAAGGAATGCAAGTGAGAATCTTGTCCCTGCCATTGTTGAAGAAACGCTCCCCAACATCTAAACCTTTGAAATGATTCTAATACATCTTAACTTTGATTTTCTCTACAATACGACACGATTTCCACGTTGAATTTAAAGTTTCTCAACAGGAGATCTCTGTTTCCTACCGCAAGTGAAAGGAGGAGAAATACCATGCGAAAAACCGTGGGGGTGAGAATGATGTGAAACATATATGTCTTTCTCAGATGACAATGGCTCAGATACCGCTATGAATTTACACTCAACAAGTGCGTCATCTCCCAAACTAAGGGTTGCTTCAGTACTCAACAGCAATGCAGAGATCTGTGCGTCAGGGAAACAGAGACAACTGAAGGTAGGGAAGCAAATTGAAAACAAACAAATCATTTTATAATTCGAATATCGAATGATGAGTGGTCTTTATAGAACATCCATTGATTGCTAAGCACTGATGCACTTTGCCAAAGCAAAAGTCTACCAATTTTTTTTAATCACAGCAGTTCCATCAAAACCATTCACTACAACTTTTACCAAAAGCGCCACTACCGATAACGATTGGCAGTCCCCACCGTCGCACCAACCAAATACTACAGTAACATATGTTGAAATAGATCTGCTATGTAATCTAGCTTCTTGCTAAGGCCTAAGGCATACCTCACGCGATTTTAGTCGTCGCGCGATTTGGCTCTGCAACGACTCTCCATAGCTGGTCGTAAACACACTTTGCTTGGGCCCGACCTGCTGCGTTTGTTACAATTTACGGAATCTACGCACCCATGCATCTGAAAGCCTCGCATGTTTAATCTCTAGACATCTGGCAGATCGCCAAGTCGCGAGGACCTGGCGATTTCGCGAGATCGCGAGAGGTATGCCTTAGGCCTAATACTGTCGACAGATTGAATCTTTACAGCCATCACAACAGAACCGACAACTACCGCTCCCACTTCTACAATCCTTACGACAACAAAGGAAGGTAATTTTCTTCCTTCTACCATAATTTTAGCTTTATTGTAGGATTACAGAGATATCATGAGGACCTCATAGTTAAAACAAAACAACGCTTTTTACAGCATCCACAACCGTACCCGCGACTACCTCTAGTAAGTACTCTACCACTATTGTGACTACAACAATAGGTAACTCCATTTACTTTTACTTATTACAATATTCATTCACATGGCTTGCAATCACAATATTCAATTATTTTCATAGTATAACCTTAAAGAAATATATTAATTCTTTCGATATCCTATAAATTTTATATTTTATTGAGTCATCCCAAAAGTAATTTCCCTCTTTCTAAAGGGGGTCACATCTGACGGAACAAAGTTCTCTAAGAGATCTTGGAAGCATTCGATGTAGAACCAATGCTCTTTGCCATGGTCAACTTTAGCTATTTTTCAAGATTTTTATATCAACCCTTAAGAGCACAAGCAGCGGATGGATAGGCCAAACCCTACAGGATACAAAACAATTTTTCTCTCGTTTCTTTCAGTACTCATATGTTTTCAATAGAATTCCAATTGATGCTACCAATTTCCATACTTGGTCAACTCAAACCTCGCAATCAAACAAGCAGCTCGGGTCTCATTCGATGCAGCTTTTTCCCCTCTTTCTAATGGATGCTTTTTGCTTTTGCTTCATGGAGTCTTCGGGGATAAGATCATCATAATTCATATTTTTGAAAGCCTTCCAGGCTGTATCCAAAGAATTCGAAATTAGATATTTCGATTCCGCAAACTCTCATTCGCGTTATAAAATTAGTGGTAAATTATGTTACCATCTTGGATCAGATACCGACGATTTGTTGGTGTTTGATGCGAATGTGGCTAAGATAGGCCTACCAAAATCCGTTGGTTTCAATAAACAATATTTCAAAAAATTATGGAGAGATATGAAAACGAGAAAAAAGTTGCGCTGTATTCCCTGAGGTTTGCTCTGCCAAAACCTTACTTGGATTCTTTCGGAGGATTGATAAGAAAACTTAGAAAAATTGTGAAACTTAAGCATCTCAAAAAGCATGGGTCGCAAATTTTGGTAGTTTTTCAAAAGCTCATTACTGTGCAATATTATTCTATAAATAGGTTGAAAATCTCCATCAAATGCTGCCAAGATCTCTCACGAAAACTTGTTTCATAAGTTGTTGCGTTCCTTTAAAAAAGCGAGATTACTTTTGAAATGGTCCCACTTATATTTTTGCTGAAAAACGAAAAATTCGAGAACTGTACCAGCAATTACTCATTTCATGTTTGCTACAAAAAGTACTGAAATCCACAAAAACTATTGAAATCCACTACTCTTTGAAAGTTTTAGCAGCACTTTCTGATTTCAAGTGGATTTTTTTTTCGCTGAAGACGAGAAAATGCCTGAACCTTACGAAAACATTAGAATGGTCTTTCTCTGAAAAAATCTTTCTAATGTCAACCAAAATTTCCACCATACAGGGTGTCTCAAAGGTACGTATTCACTGTTTGATTATTAATAACTCTGTTGGCAAAAAGAAGTTTGCTAACCTTCGGATACCATTCTGTAGAGCTGGCTTTAACTTGGACTTAAGACATGGAGTGAATGAGATATCTTTTCTACTTTCTGTGAAATTATTATAAAATTTGGAAATCAAACAAGGTAAAAAAATAAGCTAAACGCCGATGAATCCAAATTGAAAGTTTGCATTTTACCGTAGTGCTTCATTCACCAATTATGCCAAGCATACCGCATAAAACGTTTTTGCGTTTTATGTGATTACACCATTAAGAAAGCCTAAAAGACTCGGAAAAACTTACGCATTGAGATCAGTATGCCTGGTTACCCTACTACACAGATTCTCAGATTATTTGTTTCCTAATGTACCTACAGTAGAAGAGCGATCGGTGTGATCCGCTCCATCTTTGAGTCGAAGTTAAAGCCAGCTCTACACCTGATGTTAGAGTGTTAGACAAACGACGTTCTGGAGTCTAGATAATGGCGATTTTCAACTAATATTTAGCAGAGCTCCTTTCGTTACCAGTTTTATCCTAGAATTTCGGAACTGTCAATTGTCTTGCAACAGATCAATTTTGAAGCTCTGCGACTGTTATGTTGTGATAACAGCCTCCACTCCATCTACCACTGTGGCTGCGCTTTTTCATCCCATAGTCAGTATTTCCAAGATTTTTTAATCAACCCCATCCGAAAACCATGTGTCGCGGAAGTCTCACACTTTCGAATGAGCCTAAAAGCAGGCTCTTAAATGGCTGTCAGTTGAGCTTCAAACCTGTAAAGCGGTACAAGTCATTTTTAAATGGTGAGGCCATGTGCACGCTCATCCAGGGACCATTTTCAGCAAAGGAACTCACTAGCACATATCCGATGCATAGGAGAAACAAAACACAGAGCATCCATTTTAAAGTAGAAAGTTTTGTCAGAATGATTGCTTCGGCTTTCACGTGGAGAAATTTGGTTTGGAGGAGGAAGTAAAGATTGATCTCTCAAAAAAAGCAAAAAAAAATTCTAGCTCGTGCATTTTTGGAACTAGTCATAACAAAATTATAGCCCTTGACGAGCTCTGCATAAAAGTATGCTTATCTGCTCGGATTGCTCTTCACCCATTCAATTTCGATGTTTCCATTAATTGCAGAGATCGAGAAAAAATGTACTTGTATCCAATCATATTCATCCAAAAAGTGTCACAGCAGTGCAAAAAATTTTAACACATATAGATATCAGAACAGCACAGGTGGTTATAGTATTGCTCCCACATAATAAGAATTCAAATTTTCCAAAATTTAATACAATGGAAAGTAGTGGGACAAATTGACATTACCAAACTTGCATTTATATGGCCTTCAATTTACAGGTGATATAACGGTTATTTGTCGTCCCCCAGGAGTAAAAGGAATACGAGGAGGATGCCCTGAAAGATCTGGGTAAGTGATACAATCTATGCAGCTCTTCACACCTAACAATAAGCAAAGTCGTTTAGATATGGCTACGATCCAATAAATGGAGACTGTAGATATATAGGCCCCGGCGGCTGTTTCAATACAGTGAAGGAATGCATAGAGATTTGCGGTGGATCTTCTAGCACAACAATACAATCGACAGTGAAAGGTACGCACAACAATGATCGCGGTTTTGTCAATGAGATGATTTCTTAGGTAATTGCGACATCTTTCCATTTCTTTAAAAGCAAAGCTACAAGTCCGCTTTTACGATACGATATATTCAAAAATCATGCATCTTTATTCGAAGAGGCTTTTGTTACCGCAAGTTGCTTCATCACGTTTAGCAGAGTTAGAAAAATTTATTTAAAAAGCGAGCTGGAGGATTATCGAATTATGGAAACCTGACATATCCGACTCCGCTTGACCCTGTCGATACCTATATGCCAGTGGCGTACCCAGGATTTCGGCTCGGGGGGGGGGGGGGGGGGGCGCGACAAAAAATTTTTTCTAATGAAGGTGCGTGGCGTCAGCCACGCACTCCGAAAATTTTTTTGGGATGTTTCCCAAAATTTTTCCGGGCCCCTGACCCCAAAATTCCAGAAAAAGGGGGCGTGGCGGCAGCCACGTCCCCGAAAATTTTTTTTATAAGGCTAATTTGAATTTTTAAAAATTTTTAAAAATTATTTTAATTATTTACAAATAAAAACGAGTCCTCTGGCACATTTTGTAGCACATGTAAGTAACTTTCAAAAATTTCGCGACCCATTCTCGGGGTCTGTATGTCTGTATGTATGTCTGTCTGTCTGTACGTATGTTCCGAATAGAAAATTCCATTTCTGAACCGATCGGGACCAAACTTGGCACACATACACTTCGGGCCCCGGCGAGTGTCATAGGCTACTTTTCGTATCGATCGATATCGATTTTATCGATTTTTTGCAATTTGAGCTAGGGGGCTGGGATTTGGCACAGGGGGGTAATCGAGCATGCTGATTACGAATACAATATTAGTTTTCGAAACCGTGCATTACTTTTATCGATTTTATCGATTTTTTGCAAAATTTGAGCTAGGGGGCTGGGATTTGGCACAGGGGGGTAATCGAGCATGCTGATTACGAATACAATATTAGTTTTCGAAACCGTGCATTACTTTTATCGATTTTATCGATTTTTTGCAAAATTTGAGCTAGGGGGCTGGGATTTGGCACAGGGGGGTAATCGAGCATGCTGATCACCCCGTGGGGATGATCAGCATGCTCGATTACACCCCTGTGCCAACTCTCAGCCCTGTAGCTCAAATTTTGCAAAAAAAAATCGATAAAATCGACATCCGATAACGAAAAGTGGACTGTGACACCCGCCGGGGCCCGAAGTGTATGTGTGCCAAGTTTGATTCGGATAGGTTAAGAAATGGAATTTTCTATTCGGAACATACGGCGGAGCCGGGTAAGCCAGCTAGTAATCAATAAAACAGATGAATAATCCGGAAAGGTAGTACTGTGTAACCAGCGTGCTCACTTACCCCCGCCAACTCCCCGCCCGTAGCTCAAAGTTTGAATCGGTTAATATTAATCAATAACGAAAAGGAGCCTAAGACACCTGCCTGACTCGAAGTGTATCCGTGCAAAGTTTGGTCGTCCGAATCGGTACAGAAATCGAATTTTCTATTGGGAATACTTACACACAGATACTCCTACACACAAACCGACATTTAGCTTTATGTATAAGACCAAGTTGCGATTTGAAGTTTTATGGCGCTATAAAGCGTAAAAGAGCTCAGCTGTTCGTTTAGTGCAAGGCTACCATCATGCTGCCCCCTCATGGCTTCACCAGGTGATCTTGAACTTTCCGTCTGCTTCACTTCTCTAGGGAAATCCGCCTTTTACCGATAGCATGATATGTTGTTCCCGTTTTATACTCCTAAAGTAAGGAGTGGAAGCAGTTCATTTAAATAGGAATTGCCAGCGAAAAATTAGGCTTTTTGGCAAAGAAGTGTAAGGGGCTTTTAAGCTCTGCTACATTGTTAAATTGGAAAATACTCTCTCGCCTTAATTTATTTCGCAAACCTATTGGTAACTTTGTGAAGATGGCTTTAATATGGGTTTATAAAACACAGTAAATCATCAACTCTTTAGTTAAATCAGCTCTAAATGGCGACCCCGATAGTACGCGAGTTATACTGAAGCGAAAGACTCACTGACGAACAGATTGTGTATCCATGCTTTTGCGATATACCATATATAATCTACCGTAACGCAGAGCTTACAACAACATCACCTGCCATAACAACGACATCGGCTACAATAGCTGCCTCAACATCAACAACAGCATCATCTACAACTACGACCACAGGTACGAGTCAGTTTCGGGGTTAGGTTGGGGAAGGAGGGAGTGGGTATGGTCAACATTTGCGATTTTACGTAGGCCATCACTCAAACGCCCAGTCCAGTGTACGCGGGCCTAGAAATAACGAACAAAGTGCATCAGCTTGCTCGCTGTTTGAAGTTGCCACCTGCTGAGTTTGGCTGGTCAAAAAACAGTCAAATATTTACAATATTTACTGGCTACTTTTTCTAAGGTTTTTGACCTCCAAATATATTTAGAATTTATTAGTGAGACTGAACAGTGACGTCAGCCACGAAATCCACTTTTCCAAAAGCTTTCCAACGCTTTAGCTCTCCACTGGCTCCGAGTATTTTTTCTTGATTGAGCTGGATCAATGTTCTAGAAAGTTTCATAGAACATGTAAAATCATTCCATAGTCATTTGCACGATTTCATGACTCATGTAGAGCCATCAATTTCCTCCCCTCTCTGTCCTCTGGTACGAAGCACAAGAAATGAGCAGTGTACTAAAAAAATTCTACCGCATTACAATAACCTGTATGTGAAAATCACCGCACCACCGGAGTTCGGCGAACTTCGCCCCGCAGCCCCATATCTTGCTTCGGAGTAAACAGATTCTACATCCAAAGGCGCCTTTGATTCACGAGGAATGCCTTTTTAGGCGCGGTGGCCATTCGAAGAGAGGAACATGTAGCTGAAGTTAGCAGTGTATTTTGTTCTCGAAACTGCAATCCTTTATCTGTGAAACGCTTTTTGGAAACGCGTGGTGTCGTAAACAAAAATACAAAAAAAAATTTGAACATGAACCCTCTTGTTACGAACGACCGCATCCGCGTTGCACCATTTTGGAAAAATATTGATAGCGCATACTGCAGGGCTTGTGTAGAGTGGTATGCAAGCATGACAAAAATTGTGAATTTCTTCAAGAAAAGTGTCGCAGATAAGGGTTGTAGGCACGGCAACATGTATCTGACCTTGAGTCACTTTGATGCTAATTTTTTTCACTTTTTTTCACGATTTACGGGCGGTACTGTTGTTTCGTCAGGTGAAATTTGGAATTGAATTCACAACGAGAGAAACAGCTGGACATTTAGCGAGAAAAAATTTTCAAAGTAGTTCTTACGCGAAAGGTAACATGCAGCATCAGTAAAAGACTTAGTCCTTGCAACCATCGCGATCGATGCAAATACTTTCAGTTCTATCTATAATGTTCAAGGGAAGGAAATTCCAAGCATAGCGAAACATTTCGGCTCTTACAAATGCTGCACGCAAATTTTTGTCCACTGTTTGGTATCTCTGGGTAGAGCACTCCAGTTGGAATCGGGTTATAAATCCTTTTGGGTAGCACTGTCTTCCACGGAAAAAGATCCGCAGAAAAGTGAAAAAGCTTGATTTTCTTATTGTGCTGCGCGAATATGAGGAATTTTGGTTTTTTGGTAAAAGGTTTTTAAAGTGGCACAATTTTTATTGATATTCACTAAGTAGGAGAAACTCCTCTGTATCCAAATATCAGACTGCTGTTCTCCGCGCCCATTACAGCATGAACAAGTCGAAGGAACTGAGCTTTTGGAAATTTAGCTATGGCATAATTATCTTTGCTTGTGATAGAAAATCCTAAATATTTGATATGTAATGGAGGAAGCTTTTAACTACCTTTCCACAAAGGCTCATGGATAGAAACCAACAAGGAAAATTTTTATGAAGTTTTGCATGCCAAAAGGAATTTATTTTTTAGCCAACCTAACACTTTTTTGAGTTTCAAGAATGAGACGAAACTTGTAATGATTTCATGACATAGAATCTGCTGTTGGGTAAATCAGAATGAACGTTTCTGCAATTTGCTATAGTACATATTATATCATTTGCTGTTATATTTGCAAGTTCAAAAAATAATGTCGTCCAAAATTTTCCTGTACATATGGGAGTTGCTGTAGCAGGTGCGAGGGTAAGATGGGCGCTAAAGGAAAAGTCTGCTTGAGTTTGTGAAAATGCGCAAGGAATTTTGGGCGAACAAAATTCATAAAATTGGTCTTATCAGTTTTTCAAAAAATTCAATTTTGTTCCAACTGTCAAGGGCGTTGCTGCCGTCATATCTCCCTAGAGATCCAAGAAGCATTAAACGAAGAATAAGGTCAAAACTCCCAAAAGCAAATCTAACATTACTTTCCCAAAGCGACACAAGGAAAGGTTTTCAAATCTCGAAAAACTTCGAAGAACGTGGTCACGACCTTCACCTGGGGAAGCTTTTTTAACACTCTTGCGACCACTGGTAATCATGCAATAATGCAATCTCTAACGCAGTAGTCGTAGTAAAAGAATTTTTTTCTGTGGCCGTTTTCATCATTGATACCTTGAGGAAATGCTACCTCCAGGTAGTTTTATCACTCATTATCAGCAAAATTACATTGAGAATTTACCTCAAGATACTTTGTGAATACGAGTACTTGCTGATAATGAGTGATAAAACTACCTGGAGATAGAATTTACCTCAAGGTATCAATGATGAATACGGCCACTGGATTTCTTTCAAAGATACTAATAAGCTAGCCGTTTCTAGCATAAATCTTTTATTATATTACAGATATCTGTCAACTGCCGAAAGATTCAGGGACGGGTGACGAAATGCTATTCCAGTTAGTTACCCCTAAAAAGGCTTTCTCTCTAAAATATGCTAGAGTCCGTATCGATTAAGGTACTATTACTCGACAGAAAAGGATGAATGCTTTATTCTCATTTATCGAGGTAGCGGAGGCAATGAAAACAGGTTCAAGACCGTAGAAGATTGTTGGCTAGCGTGTTCTCCAAGAAATGCAAGTAAGAATCTTGTCCCTTTTACTACCGAAAAAATGCTTTTCCGTTATTGAACTTAATTCAGTTCTAATACGTTTAAACTCTGAGTTCTCCCTACATAATTTTCACGCTAATTTATAGTTTTTCACTTCAGGAGATCTCTGTATCCCACCGCAAGTAAAAGGAGGAGAAATACCATGCGCGAAACCAGGGGGGTGAGTATTGGACAATAAATATGTCTTTTCTGACGACACTGGCTCAGATACCGCTATGACTTCAAACTCAACAAGTGCGTGATCTCCCAAACTAAGGGTTGCTTCAGTACTAAACAACAATGCACAGATTTGTGCGTCAGGGAAATAGAGACAACTGAAGGTAGGAAAATTAGGATAAACAAGTTGATTAGGTAGTTGAGATAAGGCTCTTCATAACATGTCAATTGAAATACCAAATACTGACCGCTTTGCTAAGGCAAAAATCAGAAAAATTTTGTACAGGAGTTACACCGGAATCGCCACTTACCACCTCTACCATAAGCACAACAACAGATGAGGGTTAGCGATTACCATCTATTCTAGATTCTAATCCTCGTCCATACTAATGTAGTACTACTGCATCAATAAATATTGAAGAGGAGAAAATACTAGTTTTTTGCCAAATTTTTGACCAGCTAAGTGTTTGCAGCAATCACAACAGAACCAGCGAGCACTACCCCTGCAATTCTTACGACAGATAAAGGTTAGTTGTTTCATTCTTTGGGAGAACTGCAGATTCTAAAGGAGATCTAATTATTTTGTTTTATCAGAAATTCCCTGATTGATGAAAAAAATTCTGAATTAATCTGAATGCATAACTCTTGGAAACATTCTAATCCATGTAAACCAGCCCTGCGCAGTATTTTCCGATTTAGATTCAACAGACCTCTGCTACCCAACAGGAGTGAAGGGAAAACTACCTACCAAGTGTTGGACACGTGGGTTAGTCTATGCCCAACTCCACACTGTTCATTTTTATTATGATTTTCTAATTTACTCTTACCATAGATATGCTTATAATCCCAATACCGATGACTGTGATTGGGTCTACTACGGCGGTTGCTTCCAATATAGATTGTTCTGTCTACAAACATGCTCAAAAACGAAGAAACCTTGGCCACCGGAGGGTAAACACATAGAATATGATATTTCGTGAAGCGTTACTGATATTCAATGCGATAGGGGAGGAAACAAGGGTACCCTCGGAACCAACTACATCGGCATCAGTCACAAGTCCTACTACATCTACCACAACCACGACAACAGGTAAGTGAACTTACTGGCATCATTCAGCTTTCAAAAATTCAGTTAACTAGTAATTTGTGTCCCAATTGTGTCTAAGGTGGTTCGTTCTATGCCTATGATTCTTTTCAGAGGTTTCAAATAGTTTTTTTCGGGCGATGAACAAAAGCGCTGAATTTTCGATGGTATTCAAGAGCTCGAAGCTTACAAAACTATTTCAAAGAGACGAACAGATTTGACCAATGAAATTGATTATTGCATCATCCCAAATTTGAATAGCCATTTCGTAGATCTACAATCAAATGGTCCCAGCTGGAACTTTGCAAGATTTCGAATGTTCGCTAAGAACGTTCCTTCTTTTGCTTTTCACATTCATAATTTTTGCTGCCCATGCCTTCTTACAAGGGAACGATCCCAACTTAAGGTGGCGAATTGGAATAAACCGTACACCATTAGATGCGTCTTGATGAGCTGATTCCAAATCTACCTTCCAAATCTGCGACAACGTTATCTGGAAGAAGTTATGAAAGGTTACAAATGTGGAGTAACGGGGGTTTTGATGCATAATTTGCTTTGAAATCCAACTTGGAAGTGCACGACTAGCATCATATTAAGTGCACTGATTTCACGGAATGCTCACATTCAAAAGAAATGCAAATAAATGTTTTTGAACAGTTAAAAAGCAACTAAAGTTCTTTGGTAAAAGCTATGAGCAATGAAAAGTCCAAATTTGGCAAATATACATAGCAATACCTCGAAAATTATTTGTTCAAAAACACTTATTTGTGTCTCTTTTGAATGTGAGCATTCCTTGAAATCAGTACACTCAATATCATGCTAGTCATACACTCCCAAGTTGGATTTTGAAGCGAATTATGCACTAAAAGCCTCGTCACTTCACGTTTTTGACCTTTCATAGCTTCTTCCTGATAACGTTGTCGGAGATATGGTAGGTACTTTTGCAATCAGCTCATCAAAACGCATCTAATGATATGCGGTTCATTCCAATTCGCCACCTTAAGTTGGGATCGTTTCCTTGTTAGTAGTCAAATCCATCCCCGTAGGGAAAAAAATAATTTCAAATCCATCCCCGTAGGGAAAAGATAAATTCAAATCCATTCCCGTAAGAAAAAGATACCTAAGTTTATGGCTTCATATGTGAAACAAAGATACAATGCTTCTACATAATTCTTTGGGGAAAATTTGCGCAGTATATAAAGTTTAGGTTAGAAAGGAGAAAAAACAGAGAAATGAACTATTCAGACTTATTACCAGCCATCTGCCGCCCATCAACTCCACTGCAAGGAAGATGCTGGGGTACAGGGTAGGACAAATCTGCTTTTTGGAGAATCTTATGTTACGTAAACAACCAAGACATGAATTTCAGTTTTGCATATAATCCCGAAACTGATGGATGCGTCTGGGTCGATCGAAACGCGTGTTTCAAGAGGGAATCAGACTGTTTGAAAACGTGTTCGAAGCGCCCTCAGAAAGCATGGACACCAGGTGGTAGACCTTTTACTTGGATTCCCTTCGCACGAACTGATGTTATTACTATTGTCAGGTCTAGAAACAGTACCAATGCCTGAATCAACAACCACAGCTGCTACTTCCACTGCTACAGAGAGTACGACAAAAAGTAGGTTTCAACTATGAGTTTTCATGTTACGAGAGAATATACTTCATTATGAAGGCGCTCATCATCTGAACATTTTCGAAGATGCAAAAAATTCGTCATTTATGTCATGAGAAGACCCTGATCCTACTCCGCAAATTCTAATTTTCTACTTCCCCCATTAGACAGTCTACTGCTTATGATCAAGTCTCTCCTTGGAGCAGATTACGTAACCTAAGGCTTTAGATCACCTAGTACGGTAACGAGGAGAATCCCAAGAACTAGTTAGTTATCGAGAAACATAACGTTTTACACTCATCAAATGCACAAACGAAGATTGCAATTTTGCTCTGAAACTCCCATAACAAGCTGCGTTTTGGATTTAATGTGAAAAAACCAAAAATTTCCCTACCTCCCTTCAAGACAATCCTCAAACTTCCAAATTTCTCAAAATCAGGAACGGCGCTTGTGGCAGTGCCATAGAAATGCTCAAAGCGATCCAAATTGCTTTGAGCAAATGCACCCAACTTACCCTGCGTCCCGTGGGATGTCAACAGCGCCGTTTCGCAACCTTGTTGATTTCAAAAAGTGCACATTCCAGCGACATTTTGAGCATCACTTTGAGAAATGGGGGAGCATAGCTTAACCTACCGCAATTTTTGTGCAGGACAGTCAAAAATCAAAAAAGATCAGAGGGACGCGTATCGTGCTGGCCGGTTTCTAGCCATCCACACTCTATTTTCAGCAACTATTTTGATCCATTGAGAGGCATATTTGATCAAGTTATGGTATAATAGCAAGACAATATACAGTACTTTCGACTCCATCTAGAATCGTACACAGGGTTCGAAGCTTAGTTTAACCCATTGACGACGACGCCTAATCTTGCGTGGCGGCGCTGAGGGACGACGCAATTTTGCACAACCCTTTCGGAAAGTTCTGATTATTTACGAAATACAAGTCATTTTGTAACAACTACAATCATGTTCTTGGACGAAGAGGTCTCAGATTCCAAGAGTGCAAAAAATTGGAAATACTGCTGTAGAAAAAATACTAGATTTGAAAAGTATATGAGTTTACAAGGGGTGTGGGCCACCGGTGGTCCGCATCGCCCCTGGCGGCAAAAGGTGCATGGCGCACCGGTGGTACACATCGTCGTCAGTGGGTCAAAGCATTTTCACCAACAATAAGTTCTACTTAATCAATGCTTTTCACATCCACAACTATGACAGAGGAAGGTCAATGCTGGTTCTTTTTCTCAAGAATTTTTCCATTTAAACTTGTAAGAATTTCGAAGAGTATCTTTGCAAAATTAGTACAGTAACATTCCATTTCGCCGAAGAGTTTCTTTATTTTGAAGACTCAAAATATGGGCCGAATCTCACGCACGCTCGGCTGCACAACAAATAGTATATGAAAAAGTTGCTCTTATCTAGTTTCGATCGCGAAAAAAGTGAATGTCTGAGAAAGTGATTGAAATACTTTTTTTGTGCATATTAGGAAAACTATCCGTCAACACTGACGACAACAACCAACAGTTTCTTCGAGAAAATTTGCTTGCTTGCCCATTTGGCTATTCTTAAACCTCATTCAAAAGTTGTAATCTGAAAAACAACATAGTTTTTATGTTTTTCCACTCGTGCATTCAATATTAGAAAACAAATCAAAAGTGCTTTTTTCGACACTGAAATACTACAAGGAAATCAAATTGGCAAGCGTTTTCTGCACGAAACGTTGAGCCAAAGGTATGCGCTTTCAGCTTCAACTACCTCTACGAGCACAACAACTACTACGACAAGAGAAACAGAACCGATTACCTCATCTACCATAAACACAGCAACTGAAGAAGGTTAGATTTTTGGACTTAAAGGCACCGTCCACCCTAAGTTGAGTGTGTTGAGCTTTTGGCAGCATATAACAGTAGGGCCCCTATCAAGCCAGTGCCCAAGTTGCGGCGCATATGCCGCTTCGGTAGCGAGAAATCGCTTCGGAATAGCGAAGATGCACGAGGACGCCCATCCATGCCCGCCCCTCCCCATCCATGCCCGCCCACTTGTGCGCGCTCATCCAATCACTGTTCTGGAAAACCGGCCTGTGGGTTGTCCGGAATGGGGATTGTCGGGGTTTTCGCACATTCTCGACTTCATATCTGGAATCAGGGACATGAGAAGGCCCTGAAACGACAAAAACCTAGAAGTCGAGAATATGGGTGGACGGTGCCTTTAAAAGCATCTTTCTACAAAATGCATTTGCCCATCTCCATAAAGATTGTGTATTCTGAGATTGATCTACCTGAAGTAGCAAGGTTATGTGTACAGAATGCTCTATAATCAAAAATTCATAGCTGAGTAGTTATACGTACTTACCAATTTGAGAAAGAATTTGTTTCAGTAACAACGACAAGCTCAACACCCTCAACTATTAGTACACCTACCTCCACCACACCTAGTACAGGTAAGATCAAAGCTTTCTAAATTCCATCGTATGACATTACAACTCGATTTTGCATCGTTTGATTGAAAACGCTTTTTTTTTCAACCTCTTAGCCTAGTTGGCTGAATTGAATTAGCTAGACCACGCCTTTTATTGGTTCTGAACCTGAATCACACATCAAGATCAATTTCAGACCTGTGCCACCCTGCTGGCGTGAAGGGTAAGCGATTTGGGTGCTCAGAACTGAACGGGTAAGTCGACTGCAAGACGTCAAAAAATTGCGTAAAATGCAGGTAACCAAAAATTTGTCATTTTTTCAGATTTATTTACGATGTTAGAAGTGATGATTGCCATCCCGTTCCATACGGCGGCTGTTTCAAATTTTACAAGAGTTGTTTGTATACATGCGCTCAGGGCCAAAAACCGTTTATACCTCAAGGTAAGATCATCGGTAAATGTTACTCGTTCCTTGCCAAACAAATGGATTTCAATAAAACAGGTCCGCCTCCTAAATCTACTACATCTACAGTCACATCAACTACCTTTACTTCCTCAACAGCGGAAGAACTAGGTTGTTTTCACAAGAATTATTCCTAGAATCCGTCTAAAAACTTTTTACCTACAAAATCTATATCCAGCACTTATGTCAGAGTTTGGTTGTGTCAGTAGATTTCTCATGCACTGAGGTCTGCCTCAGGCAGCAACCAATCAAGAATTGAATTATTGTGAATCATTCTAGAAATAGTGACAATCATACCGCTCACGGAAACAGAAGCTCCGAGTACATCGCTAACGACTACAGCCGCAGGAGTGATAGGTAAGTAAAAAGGAAACCATTTGATTTGACCTTATTGTAAATGATCAAGGGTAAAACGCATTCGCACTCTTGAGATAACAAAATTTCTATCTGAAGCTCCACTGCTTTGTTCCAGGAAACTCATTACTTCTACGATAGCTGACCGCAAATTAGCATTATAATAAAAAACAGGAGCATGGAATTAAGGTTTTGAGAATATTCTACTTACAAGGGAAGTTCGCTTAGACAAAGTGCGATTCGGAAGGCGGCCTATACCAGTGGATAGAGCTCAAAACGCTGATCTCAGATAGGTCTTTACGAGCTTTTCTAATGCCGAATTCTCGTGCATTTTGAGTGCAAAATTATGGTATTCTTTACGCAAAAGTATGCAGGCTCAAGCAAACCTCCCTAGCAAGCACTGTGGGTCTAATTTAATTTCGTCCGAACGTTTTCGAATGTTTTCCGACAATGTTGTTTAGGTCGTCATTTCCTTTCTAGCTCATACTTCCAGGTATACAAAAAGCCCATAACTCCATTTAGAAAAACTCATCTTGTGAACAGCGTTTTACGTTCTATCCACTGGTATACATTATCTTCCGAATCGCCACTTCGACTTAGCGAACTTCCCTCGTAAGTCTAGTAATTCGAACTCTACCTATAAAATCCGAAGCAAAGTCGGTAATGAATTTTCGTCGTCACAATGAGTACTTGTCTACTACATGTATCTGTCTACTGTTATCTACTGTAATAAACTGTAGAAGTCTGATCAATAGGCAGCGAGTTCTGCCCAATTTGTGTTACTGGCTAGGGTTTGCGTATGTGTTTCTGCCTCTTTCCTTTTAATGGTGTTGAATGCATATAATAAATAAATAACAGATTAATTAATTAATTAATTAATTAATCTGTTATTTATTGGAATTTGGAATTTTGGTGCATGGACAAGCATAGGTATCCTGTACAAAGAAAAAAAGGAGAACAAACATTCCCAGAAGTTTTTGATTAGATTGCTTTATCTTTCTTATTAACCTTTGATTCAACTGGCTTGGCTTCGGCAAGGCTAAGGCCGCTCGTGCCCGCGATGCACCTGCGTCTCTCTCGCGCGGGTGCTCTCTGATTACTAGCTAGCCTTAATTAGGTCACGGAGCCCCGCCTTAGCGAAGCCAAGCCAGTTCAATCAAATGGTACATGTTTTAAGCAAGCTTTTGGATGATTGTGATTTGTTGAGTGCTAAGCTGCATGACTTTGCATGGGGTGGAAGAACGAACACCTCAATTAGGCACCGCATCCGCGGACTACTGGGCCCGTAGTATTCTACCCTACCTGGCGGCATCAAAGATGCCGCCAAGTTGGCACACATCGCGGAAAGTTGCCATCTTCGGCGGCAGCTCGCGGAGTAATTCTAGGTTTTAATAATCTTACTTAACCTTAGTACGCAATATTTCGCACATTAAATTTTGATGATGCACACAGCCGCAAAACTGCTACCTCGCGCGCAGTCGAACCTAAGTGCATTAATTTCAAATGCCACCACGTTAACCATTCGACCATTCGGTCAATCATTGACGGTTGCACCAGCAATTGGAGGAACGCAGTGGTAAGTGGCCGCCTGTAAGAGGGATCGATACATTGCGTGAGAGACTTTGACCTGAAAGAACAGCTGATTGATATGAGCGAGAGAGGGGCGAAATCGTGCAAACGAGATTTAGAAGGGATTTCCAAAAAAGATGGTGTTCTTTATGGTTCTCAGGCATTATTAGATTTTTTCTCTGTTAGAAAACGTCGTTTCAAAAAAGAAAAGCTCATATAACGAGAATAATGATAGTTTCTTGATGGAATCTAGAAATTGATTTTTTCGCCCGACGTAAATTGTGTGATATGCCGCACTCCCCAAACTTGCAGACGGCGCCAGCAAGATGCCACCACCTCGACATGGTAGGGGCACGTCAGGATGGTGGCACCTTGATCTCTCAAAAGAGCACGCTATTTTTCGTGCTCTCTGACCTGGCGGCATCTCTCTGCGGTGAAATTTCGACGAGATGCCGCCAGGTCAGTTCGCGAAGCTGCCGCCAGCACCTCCTGCCTTCCTCCACAAATCTGTTTAGGAAGGTTTAGCACCCCCAGTTGCCAGGTAAGGTTCCCTAAGGTCACTATGACCTCCTCAACCAATAATACATGTTGAAAAGGGTTGATAGGGCACAGACTTGAGGTCGGTGTTCGCGCCGACTTCACGTAAAGATGACGCTGACCTGACGGCGCAATATGCCGCCAGGTCAGGGGGATTAGTACCGGACCCTGGTCCCAACGCGATGCACAGCGGGACGAAAGGACCAGGAACCCGCGGAGGCGGCGCCTAATCGAGGTGTTCGTTCCTCTAAACTTTTGCATGCTAGCATTCGTCAAATTACTACCGTCAGAGCTTACAATTATAGAAGCAAAGAATAATAGAAAGCATGTATCTTTGCTTGCTTTGTTCAATAGCTCTGAACGACTGAAACAAGAAAGTAGTGCCCATTCCTCTAAAAAGGCTGTGGATTTGTTTCAGTAATAAAAAACATTGAGTTTAGCTGAGATAAAAACAATATCAAATTCTTGGTCTGTTTACTCTACGAGCGCATGTGAAGGATTCTAATAAATATGCAAAGATCAATGCTTTAGATCAAGAGACTTGCCTACAGCAACCACCACGACAAAATTGCTCAGAAAACACCGTCAGGTGAACTGGATGAACAATTTAGTACAAAATTATCTTATTGTATTTCAGATATGCTTACAATGCCAAATACGGAAAATGTGGAGAATTTTATGGCTGCGAAGGTGAAGGGAATAATTTCGGGAGCGTGATGGAATGCTTGAAGAATTGCAACTATATATGGTACCCAGATGGCAAATTTAAAGAAAAGCGTCTAAGTCAGTTATCTCCAAATTGCCCTAATTTGAAAACAAATCTATCTCTTGAAGGCAGTGTCCGGGCAAAATTTCGAGTAGAATTTTTTTCGCTTACCTGGGTTTATCCTTCCCACTGATTCCGAGAATGCAAAAAAATGTCAAAAACGGGCTACTCTATCTTATATATAAAGCTGAATGTCTGTTTGTCTGTCTGTATGTCTGTTTGTATGTCTGTGTGTACGTATGTTCCGAAATGTTCCGAATAGAAAATTCCATTTCTGAGCCGATCCGGACCAAACTTGGCACACATATACTTCGGGGCAGGGGGCGTGTCATAGGCTACTTTTCGTCATCGATCGATGTCGATTTTATCGATTTTTTGCAAAATTTGAGCCACGGGGCTGGGAGTTGGCAGAGGGGTGTAATCGAGCATGCTGATCATCCCTACGGGGGTAATCAGCATGCTCGATTACACCCCTCTGCCAAATTCCAGCCCCCTAGCTCTAATTTTGCAAAAAATCGATAAAATCGACATCGATCGATGACGAAAAGTAGCCTATGACACCCGCCGGGGCCCGAAGTGTAAGTGTGCCAAGTTTGGTCCGGATCGGTTAAGAAATGGAATTTTCTATTCGGAACATACGGCGGAGCCGGGTAAGCCAGCTAGTCTTATATATAAAGTTGAATGTGTGTCTGTATGTATGTATGTATGTACGTATGTGCGGAATAGAATTTTTATTTCTGAACCGATTTGGACCAAACTTGGCACACATATACTTCGGGGCAGGGGGCGTGTCATAGGCTACTCTTCGTCGTCGATCGGTATCGATTTTATCGATTTTCTGCAAAATTTGAGCCACGGGGCTGGGAGTTGGCACACGGGGGTAATCGAGCATGCTGATTACAAGTATGTTATTGACAGGGCCGGGCGGAGCCGGTTTGCCAACTAGTAAGCCTCTAATTTCGAAATTGAGCGCTTGCCACCGGTGTTCAGCCGCAGAATCGTGGTGGGACCCGACGCCTTTACCGTGTGCGATATGCGCGCTCTAGCTTATCAATTTATCATTCGGTGGGCGGAGTTCTTTGGTCGTGGCCTAACTCTCCCAACTTCCGGGGCTTTTTCCCCCTTCCGGTTTCACGAAATGTGCCCGCGATTGGACTAGACTGCAGTGAGATCCCAACACCCCCATCCTACGTAGTCCGGGCACTGCTTCTAACAAGATTTTTATCTAGAGCAAGAAGGGGGGGGAGCTCAAAACGTTGGTAATATAATGTCATATAATGTAATATCTAAGTATCTTAGAGATTGTATCTGACATTTATTAGGTTGTGTAATAAGTTCGTTCGCATTTTTTGTTCCAATTTTTTCTCAGTATTTTACAAAGCATCTGGCAAAGGGTTAGTATGCATTCGGGAGCTCTAAGTCTGCTCTACAAAATACTATCATTGTATTCCCAGTTTTTGAATAGTTGAATAAAAAATTTGGTTACAAGCCGAATAATCTGAAGTGGCGAAAAACCCATTTTCGACAACTATGTTATGCTAAGTCTTGAATGGGTTTGAGCGCTTAAGAAACAGCCCAAAGTATTTGCGACATGTAAAATTAGAATACCGTAGCTCCTCAGATTACTTGTAGGTGCTAAAACCTTTCAAAAAATCATACTGTAAGCTCAAAAATGGGTATGTTTTTTATGCCTCTTTGGCGTCAACATTGAGCATCTAAAAGCACCTTTGAGGAAGGGTGGTAGCCGAACAATCCAGGTATTAGAAGACATTGTGGTTTATGATCGCTAAATCATCGAATAAATGGATTATATAGCCAAAAATTCGGAATTCAGGGGACACAGAGCCCACGTACGCGAAACAACAAACACCGCCGCGGCAGAGCCTTGCTACGCCGACTTTTGCAAAAATTGCATTAAACGGTCGGTGAAAGGGAGTGGGCAGTCATAAGCAGTTTCAGAGTGCATTAATGATTGGTCAGTTGTTTTTCTTCGTTGTCAAGCTTTTTGAATAAATTTCAACAATGAATGACGGGAAAACCAAGAAAGAAAAAAGATGTCGAAGATCTGATTTTTATCGCTACAGATTTTTCGGTTTGTAGTCATATTTTTGTTTAACTTTGAAAGCATTGAAAGTATAATAACAGAAGTTCGATAGAGCAGACTTAGAGCTCGGGAACGCATACTAACATTTTGCCAAATGCTTTGCAAAATGTTGAAAAAAAATTTAAACAAAAAATGCGAAAGAACTTATTACACAACCTAATACTTATCTCAACTTCCAAGGGCTAAAGTCATAGTGAAGTCAGAAGAACGAATTTTCGTAAACATATGAAAACTATATGCCGAATTCGAACTTGTGGCATATTAGTGCTTCACAATATAAACTCAGGTACTGAAAAATCACGAAATAAATTTAGGGGTGGATTGGGACAAAGAGCTTGATGAACATCCACGATATGCACCATTTTGTCCCAAGTTCCGGTTAGTTCTTTTAATTTTTTTGGTGTCTTCCACAGACTTTTTCTAAAATTTTCATCTTCACAATCACTTCAGTATCACTGCAACTGATTCTCAAAAACTTATTGCACGTACTTATTAGCTAAAAATTCATCGTGTTTTTTTGTTTTTCTTTGGTCGAACCTTAGCTGGATTAAGAGGTTCACAAGCTTGTTTCAGAATAACTAATTTTGCTGTGCTTCTTACAACCTTACTGGGATTTAATTTCAGATATGCTTTCAATGAGGAAACAATGGATTGCGAAATAATTTTCTACAAGGACTGTGACGAACCCTTCCATTACTACAAGACTTGGCGCGAGTGCATGGCCGTCAACCTTATATATAAGAAAGTAGCATAGCACCTTAGTTTAGAATAGACTACTTTTATGGGTTTTGAATAGCGTAGGATAAATAGTTTGGTTTTTCTACCCGTGTTCATGCAAATGCAAATGGCAGGAGTTGATTGTCTTCTTGATTTCAGATGTAGATCGGTATAGGTACTCAATGTTGTGAGACGGCGATTTTCTTTGGAGTTGCAACACAAAAGTAGAAATACAGGGAGTTCCAAAATGATGTATCGACATTTGATCTGCAATAAATTTTTTGTAATAGAAGCTTTCGGCTTTTTTTGAATACTCATGTAGAGCTGGCTTCATTTTACAAGGAATGGTTACTACGTAGAAGTGGCATTTCCAAGAGTTGTGCACTTGCTTATAGAGCATGAAACGCTGTTTCCAAATCTGCTTTTGGTATCTGCAAAGCGCATTTGGGAGGGGAGCTATGGGATTCTTCTAAAGCGGAAATGAGCGCACGGCTGCAAAAAAGTTTAGAACTTCTACAGTTTATGGGCTCAAAATTGTCCATAATTATTAGGTTGATGCAAAAATAATGGCCGATTTGCGAATTTTCACTTAGACCTGTTATAACTTTTCTAAAAGATTTACATTTTCGATGTGGTAAAGACCATCAGAAGCAGCAAGCCTTTGGCAATACAGCGCACATTTGCATGCAGTCATATCAAAAACGGGCAGAGTACAAATTGAAAAATAAAAATGTTTTTTTTCCAAAACCTTGTATTTCACGATTCATAACTTCTTTCACAATTAGTCAGCTAAATTGTAAGTGGCCTATCTTGTAGCCGCAAGCTAGTAGTACAAAACACTATGGAAAGGGTTTGAGAAACAAAATTTGTGGAAAGGAAAATAATCAAAATTGTCAGTCCTTACGACATTTTTGCAGGATGCCTCAAACTCAGATAATCGCCGGGGGCAGGCGACCATGCGAATTTCAAGCAAGCGGGCACCGGAAAAATAGTTCGCTGATTTCTTGCGGTCCGCTTGCAGAAATTTGAAATAATTTTGGACGATTATTAGACTAACACTCGGAGAACTATCGTGGTCTTACTATGGATAAGTTGCGGTCTATTGGCCGCATTCTCGCGGATTATCCGCAAGAAATGCAAATTTTTCGGTACTTTACTGGACTTTCCGCTGAGAGAAAGTACCTCAAACTTGAGTAATTACACCATCGATGACACATCGGCGCCACATAGAGTCTCACCTTTGCTCGGCGCACGCCCGAATCTGTTCAAAAAGAGTTCGAGCGCCTGCTGAAAGTTTGGCCAGTGCTCGCTGAAAGAGATTATTTGACAAGCGTTTGCAGAAAATTTTTCATTGCTTCTCGCCGGCAGAACACGGAAGTACCGCTCGCTGAAGGTTTGGCCACGCCCCAAAATTTTGCTGACCGCCTGCAGAAAAGCGCGAGTTTGCGGACCGCCTGCCCCCGGCGATTATCTGAGAATGTCCCAGATGAAGATTTTTTGATTTTCTGCGTACTGAACCGCTGGATGTTTCTGTAAAAACTGCTAATAGGATGTAATAGCATTACGCCTACAGAATTGAGCCAAGCTTTGGCGAATGACTTCTCCAGCAGAAGTTTATGAGCCATAAAATAATCGCAACGGCTACGCATGTTGAGAATCCAACATCTCATTCTGGACAACTTCAAAACTTACAGTTAAGTATGCATAATGTACAATTTTTTATGACATACCATAGTTAAATTTTGAAAAAGCGCCATTCATGCGCTCTCGGATTCTGGCCAGAAAAGTGAATGCAATTAATAAAGTTTTATGCGGTTATTTGAAGGTCAGTGGCTTTATAACAGATGAAGATGGAAGCCCGCTTCAACCAGCATTAGGTAGAGCATAAAACTGTAGCCAGGCCGAAAGCTTTAAGAACCACCCACAGAACGCTCGAGCGCAGTCTCTGAAGATGACCGTGACCCAGCGGACTACGTAGCGAAAGCGAAACACCGATGGGCCGGTCACATTATGAGAAGAACAGACCACAGATGAACACTAAAAACATCTGAGTGGATTCCTCGCGAAGCCAAAGTCCCGAGGAAGGCCACCAGCGAAATGGGCAGACGTTTTCGTGGAACGGATGGACCAGCTGAGAAATCAGCTGGACACAATTACCGCATGGAACTCGTGGACGCAGCCACCAATGGCAACCAAGAAGATCGTGGATGTCTGAAGCGACGGATCATCTAAGTAAGTAAGTAAGTCTTAGAGTGTCCGGAAAATAATGTCGCATCGTGTTTTATCACTCAATATCGTAGCGCACGAAATTAGGTAAATGGGGTATCAGCTGATAGATCAGAGCAAGCTCTACAAAATGAATCTCGAATTTTCGCGCCAGGTTTAATTTGCGTCAAGTTTGGAGCCAATTTTCGCACTGAAGATCTAAAAAAACGAAAAAAATCGTATCTCCATTCAGAAATGTCCTGGGAACCCCTAACTTGCTCACGCATGGACTCACTATATGAGACACCCGTGCGCACATTTTCGAGGTTTTTCCATGGCTGAAAATTGAGAACACGAAATTCGGCATATTTTTTGCCAAACCAGTCCTGAGCTTCTCTCACATGAGTGATTCTGTAGTATGAACCTTTAGGAGTATAACCATGGATTTTCAGCTTCAGAAAAGCGCTAGTTTTCGAGGAAGACCAAATTGTTTGCAAAAAACCCAAAAACGTCACATAATCGCATTTATTTTGACTTATTTTTGTTTGTCGTACTGTAGGCATGAAAAAATACCAGAAACTATACAGGTGAATATCTAGTGTGCAGAGTGCATGCATCTGCGAATTGGAGATCCCCAAGACGCCTATGAACGGAGATACGATTTTCCGGGTATTTGAAAATTTCTATATTTTGGCTTCGAACTTCGGATGGAGCAAGATTTTAGCGTAGATGTGTAAACCACCTTTTAGAGCTTGCTTTGCTCTATCAAGTGATACCCTACTTGCTGTTTTTTGTGGTCATTCTTTCGTGGTATGCCATGCGACATTATTTTCTGGACAGCCTAATACATTTCACGCGGCAGGACATTTTCAGTATGATTCACTAGATTTCAGGGCTGAATCTCACAGGAACTTGCTTGAAATCCCACTGTCGCTTCTACTTTGCGCAAATCATAATTCTGTTCTGAAAATCAAATAGACAAATGAATGAAGGAAGGACCCATTGAATCTATGCCGCAGGATACTTCTGCTAAGAATTTCTAGCTCTAAGTGCTAAATTATATAAAAGACTTGCTTAATCATTAATCCACTTTTGAACGCTCCTAGTTCGCGAATATTGTACTTCTGCTTCTAAAAGCAAAAAAGCAAAGGGGGGCTTGGTTTTAAAAGAAGGGTGGAGCCCTAGGATTTATACAGCAGAAGCTTTTTGCTAGATTATCCTTTAGTCTCGCTACAAGGAATGACTCCATGAGTTGAGAGACATCATCAAAGTGTAGAGCTGGTGTGTTTACGGCCATTGCTCGAGAAGGATTCCGTAAGGCCCTCATCCAGCTGTACATCCTCCATATTTTACAGAATCGCTACAGGTAATCAAAAGCTAAGAAAGAATTGCAGTGAAATGTTTAAAGGAAGGAAGAGAAGTGAGAGAGAATTCAATGCATAAGCAATAGTGAACTCACCAATCTTTGCGATCATGCAGAGGAAGCTTTCTAACGCATGACAGAGTCTCTGAAAATCAGCCTTAGCTTCGGGTTGTATCAGATTTTGATATCAGATTTCACGGAAACTTGCTAAACATTCGTTTCAACTGCTTCTACTTTGTGGAAATTCTACTTTTGCCGATAAAAACAACCAGAAGAAGCTTGTCTTGAGTAAGGTCAAGCATGGGGTGTGGCACGCCACACCTGAGGGTCGCTTCGAGGGGTCAAAACGGGAAGGGGATCGTGATCGAATAATGCTGATAATGGTGATAACATGTTATTCGTAAGCAGTTTACCAGAAAACCCCATTATGCGGAATACAAGCACATAAATTTTGACTTGTCATCGTATAACTACCGCAGCATAATAAAGAGCCCTTACCAAGCATAACGAATAATATAATTATATTTAGCATGTCAAATAACCCCTGTGGACGAAGTTTGGGCGAATTCTGAAATTCCCAGATACTGAGCCACCTAAGTGAGGTGTCATTTCCGAACATGATTAACTTCGTTTCAAAGATGAATTGATACATCCCCTACACTCGGCACAAAGCAGTATTCCTTCTTTGCCTACCTCACAAATCCGTTTGAAAGACCTCCAAACTGTGGAATTAGAAACCAGCCAAGATCTCGTTTTTTCCATTTTTCGCTTTCATTGGCTGTGTTTTCGCTGTTACTCGGAGCAGAAGACGAATCAGGTTCACTTCTGTGAAATCTACGAGCTATCGAACCATAAAAATACTACTAGCTAAACAGATTTTTTTGACATAGTTAATAAGGTGTGGCACAACCTCAAAAAATGTGTGGCACTCACAACTTTTTGGGGTTTGTGTTATACCTCATTGAATATGTTAAAAAAAACGTTTTTAGTGAGTAATGTTTATATGGATAGCCAAAAGTTCGTAGACTTCAAGAACTGATTTGCGCCTCTTTCGTCTTCTTTACTCTGAGTAACATTTGATGAAAGCACAGCCACTAAAAGCGAAAAATGGAAAAAACAAGATTTTAATTGGCTTTTGTGATTCCTGAGGTGGGCAAAGAAGGAGTACTGCTTTGTATTGAGTACAAAAAGAGTGTAGCTAATTCTTCTTTGAAACAAAGTTAATCATATTCGAAAATGACCACCTCCACAGCCCAGTGTCTGCAAATTTCAAAATTCGCCCAAACTTCGTCCACAGGGACTATTTGACATGCTGATTGTGAATATATTACTCCTTATGCTTGGTAGGGCCTTCGAATTATGCCTACTTTGCATAGATATGCAATAGTTCAAGGGGGCCTTTTTATAAAAGCAGCTAGGGGGGGGGGCGTATCCAGCGATCCTGTGCTGCACGGTCATTTGATATGCTG